AAAAGGCTAAAATTATAACAAAAATGGAAATAGGCCACATCCACAAATTGTAAAGCTTTGTTCCCAAGTGAAACGGGCGAGGTGTTAAACCATCCTAGCAAGACAAATAAAATTCACAAACCTGTCGTTTTAGAGCAATAATGAGAAACCCCAACCCATCAAAATAACTGTAATTACGCACTTTGTAGGTGTTTATTCGTTGTGCACAGTCCCCGAGTTACGGAAGGGTTAGGTTCCCGAGAACAATCCGTAACCCGAATTTTATGTATGTCGGAAACTGAAATTTTTTTCCCCCAAAATCAAAATTCCATTTACTTTAATCCTAGTGAACCTCGCTCCACGGTATTAATTTCACAACCCCACCACGCTGCACTACTTGCCCTTACGTAACTAACGCAAACATTTGTGTGTGTAGAATTTTTTCAACATGATTTATGGGAGCATTTCTGTAAGGTTGGATTTCCGTAAGTCGGGTTTTCCGCAACCTGGGGACTGTCTGCAATCACGCTGAACAGAAAGCTTGAGACAGAGACTGCTTGTGGCAAGAGCCGTATCATTGGAATCAAATCTAACTGCACAATCCACGAAAGTTAAAGTGAGCGGATGGCAACGGTCCTTCGATTATGAACATGACCGATACCGGGGACTCGATACAACTCAACTCAGGTGGACTCTGTGCTGTACCAACAAAACAACCGCAGCCGCATCGATGCCTTTTATTCGAAGGCATAGAACATTGCTGCAACGTTTTAAATAATACTATACTTATTTTTAGTGTTAGGTAAACGGTCACAAGATCTGTCTATTTGGCGTTTGAACATCTTAAGGCCTCTGGTGTTATTGACAGAAGGGCTAAAAAGCCTATTTTTATTTCCCCGTTTTGACACTGGCAACAAAGATTCGATAGATATAATTGCTCAACCCGAGCTATTCATGCTTTGATAATTGCATTGCCTTTGCACGGTTTGCATTTTGGCATTCTCTGGTCTAACACCAGTAAGACGAGGCCATAAAGGAGGCCATCTCTGGAGTAGGCCAATCAGTTTCAAAGACAATGCATACATTATGAGAGCAAGTTTGTTTGCATGTTTTGCCACTAGCAGGTGTGGTCAATGCAGACTTGCAATAGGTAGGTGGCTATTTTGTGTGTGAACATCTTAACACCTCGTGTTATTTGCCAGAAAGGGGAAAACCTATTCGTCTTATTTAATCATTCTGATGACAAAAAAGGTCCCATAGATTTGTCATGCATCCTCAAATGTGTGTTCATACCAACATCTCACAATACACACGTCTGTGCCCTCATTCCCCTGGAGCAGGGAGAACATGAGCACCAACCACTCTGCAGAAAAGTCAACAGTGGTTGACTGATGTACGTGTGTATGTTGAACTTCCTTCGCACCGCACGCAGCCAACAGCCAACCACGCGGACAAGGACAACGAACTAAACACAAAAAGCAGTGGAAATGACTGGCTCTGCTCACTGGAATGTAGAATTACCACCACTGGCTCTGGGACAATCAACAAGACAGCGCCACCCTTGAGCTAATCAGGGTAAGAACACTGACCACCCCCCCCCCCCCCCCGACTACTAACTGCATCTGCGCTTTTCTTAATATATATAAAAACAAACTTGCAGAATATTACAAGCGTGCAAAACAAGCAAAGGGAAGAACGGCAGCGGTGAGTAAAGATGTGACATCACACAAGGACAAATAAGTCAACTGTGTTTCTTTTTGATGCTGGTGAAATGTAAAAAAAAACGGCACTATTTTGCCCCATTGCAACATTTAAGTGTGAATTCTTCATGACTTTGGCAAGACATATTTAGAAATAGAGTGGATCATGCAAAATACAGATCAAGGTTTTGAGTATTGGAAAGCTTGTTCGGAATAATGTTATTTCCCAATACACTCTCGAAAACAGCAATTCGTCATCAGCTACTGACTGATGCCATGTGTCCACCTCCCGATGCTCGTTGATGTGTGTAAGACATTATCGAAGCACCGCATAAGGCTGTGAAAGAGGATGCTAGACACGGTGCCATCGAAAATGATTAAAAATAAGAATAGGTTTTAGCCTTTCTGACAATAAAACAGGTGTTAAGATGTTCAAGCACCAAATAGACACATTTTGCAAGGCACAACATCCGCATTAACCACACGTACTTGTGGAATGTTTGTTTGCATGTTTGCCACATTAAGTGGTCAATGCAGAATTGATGCCTTGCAAAAGAAATCTATTTGGTGTTTGAGCATCTTAACACCTGTATTATTGCCAGAAAGGGTAAAAAAAACCCTCTTATTTTTCATAATTTTTTATTCTGGGAAAAATGTCCCGTAGATACCGTGACCTCGATCACAAAAAAATGTCCCAGAGATACCGTGACCTCGATCACAAAAGTAGGCCACAGTTTCAACATCGTAGCCCAAATCCGAGATTTCAAAATGTAGCCAACTAAAATGCAAAGTGTGAGTAACCGTCTCCACGGCAACAGCCACCGACATTACACTTGAAAACATAACAGTACGAATCTAAACAGGGTCTCACATTGTCAAGCAAAAAGTCACGAATGCTCCGACTCTCCAAAGGCAATTAGCATGCTAATGCTAATCCGTGCTTTATACTTAAAAAATTGCAAACTGTGATCCCCATTACAAGTGTGTGGTCCAACTATGCCACTGAGTGCACTGAGGGGGATTTTTGAAATTCCATTAAATAGCACAAACCGGAGAAGCGGGACTCGTGTAGAGTGGTACTTCCAGGAACTCGTGTAGAGTGGTACTAACAGGAACTCGTGTAGAGTGGTACTAACAGGACTCGTGTAGAGTGGTACTAACAGGAACTCGTGTAGAGTGGTACTAACAGAACTCGTGTAGAGTGGTACTAACAGGACTTGTGTAGAGTGGTACTAACAGGACTTGTGTAGAGTGGTACTAACAGGAACTCGTGTACAGTGGTACTAACAGGAACTCGTGTAGAGTGGTACTACCAGGAACTCGTGTAGAGTGGTACTAACAGGAACTCGTGTAGAGTGGTACTAACAGGAACTCGTGTAGAGTGGTACTTCCAGGAACTCGTGTAGAGTGGTACTAACAGGAACTAGTGTAGAGTGGTACTAACAGGAACTCGTGTAGAGTGGTACTAACAGGAACTCGTGTAGAGTGGTACTTCCAGGAACTCGCGTAGAGTGGTACTAACAGGACTCGTGTAGAGTGGTACTAACAGGACTCGTGTAGAGTGGTACTAACAGGACTCGTGTAGAGTGGTACTAACAGGACTAGTGTAGAGTGGTACTAACAGGACTCGTGTAGCGTGGTACTAACAGGAACTCGTGTAGAGTGGTACTAACAGGAACTCGTGTAGAGTGGTACTAACAGGAACTGGTGTAGAGTGGTACTTACAGGACTAGTGTAGAGTGGTACTAACAGGACTCGTGTAGCGTGGTACTAACAGGACTCGTGTAGAGTGGTACTAACAGGAACTCGTGTAGAGTGGTACTAACAGAACTCGTGTAGAGTGGTACTAACAGGACTTGTGTAGAGTGGTACTAACAGGACTTGTGTAGAGTGGTACTAACAGGAACTCGTGTAGAGTGGTACTAACAGGAACTCGTGTAGAGTGGTACTACCAGGAACTCGTGTAGAGTGGTACTAACAGGAACTCGTGTAGAGTGGTACTAACAGGAACTCGTGTAGAGTGGTACTAACAGGAACTCGTGTAGAGTGGTACTAACAGGAACTCGTGTAGAGTGGTACTAACAGGAACTCGTGTAGAGTGGTACTAACAGGGACTCGTGTAGAGTGGTACTTCCAGGAACTCGTGTAGAGTGGTACTAACAGGAACTCGTGTAGAGTGGTACTAACAGAACTCGTGTAGAGTGGTACTAACAGAACTCGTGTAGAGTGGTACTAACAGGAACTCGTGTAGAGTGGTACTAACAGGAACTCGTGTAGAGTGGTACTTCCAGGAACTCGCGTAGAGTGGTACTAACAGGACTCGTGTAGAGTGGTACTAACAGGACTCGTGTAGAGTGGTACTAACAGGACTCGTGTAGAGTGGTACTAACAGGACTAGTGTAGAGTGGTACTAACAGGACTCGTGTAGCGTGGTACTAACAGGAACTCGTGTAGAGTGGTACTAACAGGAACTCGTGTAGAGTGGTACTAACAGGAACTGGTGTAGAGTGGTACTTACAGGACTTGTGTAGAGTGGTACTTACAGGACTTGTGTAGAGTGGTACTAACAGGACTCGTGTAGAGTGGTACTAACAGGACTCGTGTAGAGTGGTACTAACAGGACTCGTGTAGAGTGGTACTAACAGGACTAGTGTAGAGTGGTACTAACAGGACTCGTGTAGCGTGGTACTAACAGGAACTCGTGTAGAGTGGTACTAACAGGAACTCGTGTAGAGTGGTACTAACAGGAACTGGTGTAGAGTGGTACTAACAGGAACTCGTGTAGAGTGGTACTAACAGGACTCGTGTAGCGTGGTACTAACAGGAACTCGTGTAGAGTGGTACTAACAGGAACTCGTGTAGAGTGGTACTAACAGGAACTCGTGTAGAGTGGTACTAACAGAACTCGTGTAGAGTGGTACTAACAGGAACTCGTGTAGAGTGGTACTAACAGGAACTCGTGTAGAGTGGTACTACCAGGAACTCGTGTAGAGTGGTACTTACAGAACTCGTGTAGAGTGGTACTTACAGGACTCGTGTAGAGTGGTACTACCAGGAACTCGCGTAGAGTGGTACTAACAGAACTCGTGTAGAGTGGTACTAACAGGACTTGTGTAGAGTGGTACTAACAGGACTTGTGTAGAGTGGTACTAACAGGAACTCGTGTAGAGTGGTACTAACAGGACTAGTGTAGAGTGGTACTAACAGGACTCGTGTAGAGTGGTACTAACAGGACTAGTGTAGAGTGGTACTAACAGGACTAGTGTAGAGTGGTACAAACAGGCCTGGTGGAGAGCGTTACACAGCTGCTGGGGTAGCGACCTGAGTTTGCCGGAGCTGGTCTCCGAGAGGGTGACCGTCTTCTTGCACTCCTCTAGCAGGTCTTGCACACAGCCGTGCTTGTCCGGGTAGAGCGTGATCTCCTGCGGGGCAGCACACTCACCCGTCACTCTAAAACTAAACATTTTTTTTATTTTGCCAGGTAAGGCCCACTGAGCTATATAGCTCTCTTTCAGAAGCGACCTGCCTATCATAAATGATAGCTTAACGAAGCGGTTTATCAGCCGGAAATTTATAACAGACAAATACTCTAAATGTATGTTGATTTCCAAATGTGAGGGGGAAAACGGAAGGACCCAGAGGGAGAACATGCAAACTCCAAATATACAGGTTAACTACCTCGCCTGTTATGCCTCCTGTATAACAGGCGAGGTAGTTAACATCGTCACCGTGGCGCCCGCCACTTGTCTGCCACCTGTCTAACCCAGCCACACTCAAAACAGTCAATGTGCTTCCTACTCAAAAGGGCATTGAGGCTGTTCATCTTCCATATACAGCCCTGAGCCAGTGGTGGAAATAACACATTGTTATGGCAGGGGCGAGTCTACCCATAGGACAACTGCTGTCGACTAATAAGCAAAGTGGCAAACATTTTATCATCCATAGAGGGATGATGGGGGGGGGGGGGGCACGATTGCGAGTGGCTTGCTCTAACGCCAGCGACTCAGCTGGTACACGTAAGAGTCAAGTAATGTATGCCAATTGCTTATATGATAAATGTATAATAGCTTGAGAGTAATGGAATCAACACGACACACAATATATAGATGAGCCACAAGAGAGTACTTATTGAATGTAATCGTGGCACTGACTCTTGACGGTTAATTGTTAAGTGGCCCACTAATACTGGCTGCGACTCACAATCTGGGCACATGGGCTACGGTGAAACAGGGTGACTCGTTAAACGGTGGGCACGAGCAGAAGTGCAAACTTACCTCTTCCACAAAGTTGCTTTTCAGCCAAACGCATTTGAAATTCTTTTTGTTTTCAAAGTCCGTTATCTTCATCTTAAGCTGCAGACACACCGTCACAAAGTCGCCGTATTTATTGTAACATCGGGTTAAGATTCGACGAGACGATGTTTCAACAAAGAACTAAAACAAAATCACAATACTGGTTGCAGTAAAATTACAGTGGACAGGCTCAAGTACTGGGAACATCTGTCACTTTGAAAAATTAATCAATACAAGACATGCACTACATCCGGAAATAATGTTCATATTGGTTTTTATAATACTCAATCTCTATTCGAAAAGGCTACTACATGATAATTATTGCACCTCGAAAAGGATGTACACAATAAAGGAGAGTAAGGATCTCGCGTTCAACGGGAATATAAACGCGGTTGCAGCTCACGAGTGCTTAAAAAAATATAATGTTCGGGAACAAGTTCGGAAAAATCAAGCATTTAGATGGTAACATAATTCCCTTGTTATTTACAAACTTGCTATTCTCGAATCGCATCTGGAACTCTGCACGACTGCATCGAGAAAGTGATGAGATTAAGTGATGAGATCAAGTGATGAGATCATCACCGTCGTTACTGCATCCTCCTACTGTACATCACCATCAACATAATTTAAGCTAAGTTAATTTATAAACTATTATTTAATATTCTATGGTTCTTTCGGTAAAGTCACGTAGATAGAAAAAATAATTAAAATAAAGTGAATGAAAATAATCACGACGTTTCGATCGCAACACAAACGGTCGTCATCAGGAACGGTCGTCATCAGGAACTGATAAATATTAATTCTTGCAGTCACGAAAGTTAAGTCATTATTATTTAATACTTTAATATTTACTTTGTTTATTATAACGAATCTAAATGTTTTGTCGTAATTTGCATGTAATAGCATATTTACATATTTAAAGTAATTTTAAAACATTATCTGCAAAAAAACGCTATTCACAAGCATCTCCATGACGTATCCCTTCCAAATAACGAGGCAATACTGTATACATTATCCGGATTATAAGATGCACACCCACAACTTTTGCTTCAAAATATCAGGTGTATGTATGGAGAACTTATTTCGCACCGTACATAGCCAACCGAACTACTCAGAAGTGTGCCTTATAATCTGGAGAATACGGTAATTCACTTTGTTTTCATGCAAATCAGTGGCGTCACAAAAGCCGGACTCTTTCAAAGCTTATTCGCAGCCATGGTGATGTAATGCGAACGATGCTTACAAATTATTTTATTCAACAAGCAGAACGGAACATCCCTGACAAGTACTTTGCTGCCATGTACGTACGTTGAGCTTATTTTGCACACCGTACGCAGCCAACCATGCTCATCGGAGGTGCGGTTGAACGTTATCCAAATTAGGAGTCATAATCGTCACTCCTTCATGACTAAGTAAGCCAACACTGGCATTTCAGCCGACAAGCATGTTCGAGGATGTGCTGTATATCTGCTTTAGCAGTATCTAATTAGCGAGGAACCAAACACCCCCAACTGTTCATGACATTTGTTAAAAGTCATGCCCGATTTTAATAATGAAACCCATACTTTGCAGGCAATTACGTGGAAATCACACAGCCTGAAACTATCGATTAATAATTTTCCACCAACTATTAATTAATATTCTGAGTGCACATGACCACGTGCTGCATAAAAAGACCCGTGGTTTTCATAGCACACACTGCCAGTCCGCGTGAGACCATGCCCAACCTATACTTCACTGCCAAGAGCTAACGCACTATGGGTGGCGTGCGTCCTCCGGTGGAAAATCACCAGGAATCCCGCTGCGTACGACAAAATTACAGACCTCAAAGTGCTAGCATCAGCAATTGCCTTTTAAGTTATAAAAACCCATGATTGAATGGTTTCTACATCTTTCAGGTCACACTACCTTCACCATTCTAGAGCCAAGGGCTTTTCACTGGGCATGCTCTGAAAATGAGCTCATAAAAACTTTAAAAATGTGACAAGAGGACATCGTTGTCCCGAAATCAGGGAGAGTAGGTGGTACAGGGTGGTGGGATGTGTGTGCTGGGAACACGGGGGCTGGTCACAGATGGAGGCATCTGAATAGCGCCCAGAGGCCCGAGGGTCAAGGGGGAAGGCCTAAACCCAGATGGTGTTCGTGATGAGGTGGTAAGAGCGATCCCATGGAGGTTGTAAGTCCCCCACTGTGCTACAGCTGTGGGATCTAGCATAGAGGAAGTAACAGAAGTGCAGTTTTATATAAGGGCACCAGGGTGGCGAAATGTTAACTATCTCGCCTGGTATACAGGTCGTGGGTTCGATCCCGACCCCAACGCCTGCTGTATATTTGGAGTTTGCATGTTCTGTTCTTCCCGTGGTGGCCTGGATTTTTCTCCAGATTGTTCCGTTTTTCCCTCCGCATTTAGAATCAACATGCGTTTACAGTATTTGTCTGCGATACGTTTACATATGATAAGCGACTTCATTGAGATATAATTTGTGATCGCCAGGTCACTTTTGAAAAAGAGCTACATAGATCAGTAAAATGAAAATAAACTAAATAAATAAAATATGAAATATTGGCCAACATCACCTCTTGAGATCGACCAACATTAAACTGTAGACGTAAAGAATATAGAATAAGAACGTACAACAGTTTCATTGTTATGAAATTGAAAGCCAGGCCACGAATATGTGCGGAAGGCGGGGCCACTCGCTGCTGAAGGCCTGAGGCCGTTGTGGTGGAGTGCAGAGCGCACGGCGTTTGCTGCCGAGCGTAGACCCCCTCTCCCCCCCTCCCGATACCTGTTGATAATAGAGCTTCTTGGGTTGCCTGGGCTTGAAGTACTGCAGCAGGTCTCGCAGGGTGCCCTCGTAGGTGTGTCGCAGCGGGTTTCCAGGCCCATCCCTGTAGCTACAAAGAACAGATCTGATAAACAGCTTGCTGTCCCCCCCTCACGCCGCCCAAAGGGCCCCCGCGCACGCGACGGCAGGCGCGACAACCGCGACGGTTGAGCGGGATTGCAGACAAACTGGCGGGGAGGCAATTATCCAGCAACTCAGGCAACTTCTACCGACAACTTCTTTCAGGCCTTCACCAACCACCGGAACAGAAACGAAGGCAGCGCTCATAACGAAGCATGAGACGGCGAGGCTGCACGGTCTGTTAGCTGGTTTCTTAACGGTTTGGTTATTATAAAACGTTTGTCTCAAAATTGTGTGTGCAAGGATTTATTTAAAAACCACCACTCCGACGATGCACGAGGCAACTTACACTCGAAGTTACACCAATTTCAAAAGAACTTGCCAGTGTATTTAATGTTATGTTTTTTTAAAGTTTATGCAATCAGTGTACAACTTCCAAGCAGATTTCTACACTGCAGGATTGTGAGGGATGGGGGGACACCAGTGGATGGACCATGACTGATGATGATGAAGATATTATTTTACAACTCATAAGAATGCACATTTAAGGAACTCATGTCAATTTAGCGCTCCTGCGTTTTGCACTACACAAACTGCTGGGCTGCTTAAACAGCTGGGACAAGTTTGCACTTCATGTTCATGTGTCAACTGGATGAGTGTAAATACAGTCTATTCCCCTATAACGCTCGTTTTCATAACACAAATGTGATATAACGCGATGAATGTATGAGGGAACTGCATATAATGCGATTGAGTGAACGGAACTACGTCACGCCAGTAGGAATAAGCGGTTGTGCGGCTGCCTTGGCAGAGCATTACACAAGGCAGGGGGGGATGCTACTGGATGCTTCAAGATGCTACCCACGCGCCTCCGTCTTTGTTCAGCCTGCATACGCATATCACGTGTCATCGCGGACTTTGCTTTGCCCTATATAACGTCATTTTTACATAGCGCGCTGTTCTTCAGGAACGCAACTACTTCCACGTTATAGGAGAGCAGAGTGTACAACGTGGGCTACACGCTGCATACTAATAGAGGTGGCGGATATCCTGCAGCAGGCCGATACATAAACCAATGCACACTCCGGAGCAGTGGTTCTCAACGGGGACACGCGGACCCCTGGGGGTATGTGGCAATGACCCAGAGAGTACACATGAGGTGATGTATAAATGTGTGAAATTACATCGTACATGAGTCACTGGTGAATAATCATGTATGAATCTGCCAATATAAAATAACTACGATAACATTTGAAGCCATATGGTAACCTATAATTATGTAAAAGGCCTTTCTAAACTCATTGATCGTAAACAAGGTGGTTTCCAAGAGTAACTAAGGGATCGCGAACAAATTATGTCATGCATGCAGAGTGTCCGTATATTTTTTTTGTATTAGCTTGCAGTTACTCGCGAGTTAGGGATACCTCACAAAATGGACAATTGGTTAAAATACTGATGCTCATTATTCAAATATTTATTTCTCAGAACCACGTTGGGTCAGGCAAGGAGGCACCTGGATGAAACAAAAATCAACAAGGAGCACATACAGTAACCAAACAAAGTTGAGAATATAATACGTTTTTGGGTTAGATTGAGTAAATATAAGCCTCTACAGTGAGGGAAAAATAGTATTTGATCCCCTGCTGATTTTGTACGTTTGCCCACTGACAAAGAAATGATCAGTCTATAATTTTAATTGTTGGTCTATTTGAACAGTGAGAGACAGAATAACAACAACAAAAATCCATATAAACGCATGTCAAAAATGTTATAAATTGATTTGCACTTTAATGAGGGAAATAAGTATTTGACCCCCTCTCAATCAGAAAGATTTCTGGCTCCCAGGTGTCTTTTATACAGGTAACGAGCTGAGATTAGGAGCACACTGTATATAAGGAACGAAACAGGTGGACTTCTCCACAAATATGGCTGTGGCCTGATGAAGCTAGTTGTAATTACTGGTGAAACGTCGTACTCAGATTGTAAATGTTGTGGCTTGGCTCTCCAACACACCGGTGTGCTGTACTCGTGACGAATTGGCCACGTTCTGTTTACATGACAACCCTTACTAGTTGGCTGTGTCGGGTGGTGGCGGGTTTAACGACACATTTATATATTTACGTGATCTAACCCAAAAAAACTATATTATGGATAAGCGTGTCGTTAAACCCGCCACCACCCGACCACGGCCAATTAGTAAGGTTCTTAGCATAAACAAACGCATGCCATTTCATTACTAGTTCAGCACATTCCACTCTCCACTTCTCCGGGAGAACAGACTGAAGCCAGAGGGAGCGGACTTGCAGCAAGACGAGGCTCGTCAGGTTGGTCGGTGGGGAGTACAGCCTTCCCCGGTGCGCGCTGGTGAGCAACAGGGGCCACCCACTGACCGCACGTCGCCAATACCACAGCACGTACCCTTGCGATTTGAAGAACTGGAGCAGCATGGGGTCGGTGTTGAGCCTCTGCGCTACCGTCTTTGCCACCTGAAGAACGACAGACAAGGTGTGGCAGGTGTCTTGCGCGTGATACGTATGTACGTATGTTGAACTCGTATCGCACCGTACGTACGTCGGTCAACGGTGCTAACTGGTGGTACACGGGTGTCTCTGTCACGCATGATACACGGGTGTCTCCGTCACGCATGATTCACGGGTGTCTCTGTCACGCATGATTCACGGGTGTCTCTGTCACGCATGATACACGGGTGTCTCTGTCACGCATGATTAACGGGTGTCTCTGTCACGCATGATTCACGGGTGTCTCTGTCACGCATGATACACGGGTGTCTCTGTCACGCATGATTCACAGGTGTCTCTGTCACGCATGATACACGGGTGTCTCTGTCACGCATGATACACGGGTGTCTCTGTCACGCATGATTCACGGGTGTCTCTGTCACGCATGATTCACAGGTGTCTCTGTCACGCATGATTCACAGGTGTCTCTGTCACGCATGATTCACAGGTGTCTCTGTCACGCATGATTCACAGGTGTCTGTCACGCACGATTCACGGGTGTCTCTGTCACGCACGATACACGGGTGTCTCTGTCACGCATGATACACGGGTGTCTCCGTCACGCATGATTCACGGGTGTCTCCGTCACGCATTATACACAGGTGTCTGTCACGCATGATACACGGGTGTCTCACAGATGTGCACAGAAGAGACCCAGAGCAGAGGGCGAACATGAGTGTGACTCACCCGCCAGCCTCCCTTACCAGCTGAAGCGGGAGGCCTTTTTAAATACCACAGGAGTAAATAAACACAATTAACTGTAGCCTGCCCTCGCACTCATGAAGAGTTCAAAGGAATCCCGTTATCCTAATGCAAGGATTGTCCCAGGCTCTGTCCGTGACCGTTTTAAACATTATTTCTCTGAGGTGTTCCTAATTTTATGTTTCATGTTAACTACCTCGCCTGGTATACAGGAGGTCGTGGGTTCGATCCGGACCCTGACGCCTGCTGTATATTTGGAGTTTGCGTGTTCTCCTCGTGCTCGTGTGGATTTTTCTCTGGGTCCATCGGTTTTTTCCCTCCACATTCAGCAACATACAATTAGAGTATTTGGCTGCTATACATTTTTATACAAGCCACTTTGTTGAGCTATCGTTTGTGGCAATGTCACTTCTGAAAAAGAGCTATATATAGCTCAGTGGGCTTTACCTGGTAAAATAAAAGTTTACTTTGTAGATTAGAATGGCAAAAAGCAGCTCTGGGTACCAAATGCCAAGGGGCTCATAGTAACAAATCTCCATTAAAATAGAAATTCCACTCGGTGCCTCTACAATGGTCTACACTGTGAGAGTGCCCCCCTATTTGGAATTCAATATGAGGCACACGAACCTCAAAGGTGGAATCCTATCAGAGATGACTTATGGGACATAGGTCTAAGAGGGCAAGAAATGCTGGCCCGGGCTACATCACAGGCACGACAACATTACCTGGAAGTAGGTCATCCTGTTTGAGAGTGTGACGACAAAGCCGGGGTCGTTGGGGATGGTCTTGTCGCAAAAGGTGACGTCCACACGGTGGTACAGGTCGTGGAAGTAGTCTCTGGCGGTTGGGAGCTCGCTCGTGTTGTCTGGATCGTCCCTGTGTAATTGGTGGCACAGGACACAGTGTGCTCTCAGTAAGCACGCTTGTTCAATGTACAGCCCTTGTTTTCCTTCATACGAATTCTGCGGAGGGACCTTTTCGAATATTTAGACAATGACCCTCGTTTGTGATTCATTGAAGGTTCATTGTGCAACTTCACATCAAAGCCAAAGATTCCCCGTATAGCCTTAACAGACTGTTGGGGCAAGTGCTGTTAGCGAGCACTAATGAAGGCCTGGCACGGCATATTAGGGGGTTGATGGTCAGCACCACGCCTGGCCGCCTTTGTCTCCCTAGTGGCGATGTATATACGCCGCACCAGGTACTCATTTGAGGCCGAGTCGACCTAGGAGAGGCCCAGGACCGGTTCAGATAATCGTCACTGGTGTTGGCCGTGAGCTGGAATCGAACTCGGGTGGCCGGGTTCGTAGTGCAGCACGCTAACCGCTACACCACCGCTCCCCACTTCACAACAGGCATTGGCACACACCCATGTCCAAGCCATGCCTGATACAAACTTGAAATAAAAACTACACTTTCTCAACGTAACGAAAATATAAGACACACTTTACAAATGTAAGCGTTTATTACGAGATGAAGCCGTCATCTTTCACATTTCTATAAAAATAATACACTATTGTCCAGTGAAATAAATGTGAAAAGTTAATGTGAGAATAGCTTAGGTTTTGCCCCTATATCCTGAAATTGATAGAACTTTCCAGAAAATATGTTTTGGTATATGCACTGCCAGAGCAAGTACCAGAAAATATACTTTTTAAGGCAAACAGTAATAACCAAACAGTGACATGTAGCTTAATATAAATAAGGGGATATGAGGATTTGAGTCACAAAAAATAAATATAATGTGGTTTAGTTCAGCCCAGTGATCAGCTGAATCAGTGGCAGCTTCCACAGATGTCTGAGGATGTTCATTTTGCTGGCACTCAAAGTAATGTGTGGCTCTGGCCTTCACATTTTGCCTTGGCCTGCACACATTTTCAAATGATAAGGATTTCCATTGGCTCGAGAGGGGACATTTGCTCGAGTGGTGCAAGATGACTGGCATGTCTCTCGACTGCCAAGCATTTTACATGGGACGCTGGTGGCTATGCTGCAGGTCTGTAATCCAGCACTGCTGAGACAAGGGTTGGTGGATCACACAAATTTGTGAAACTCCCTACCCAAGTGCATATCATTGTCTCCATCTCCTGGCTTGTCATGGTATGGCAGTAAAGCAAATGTGTTAATTTCCACCTGTATTTCATCTGTACGGGGGATCGAGTGTTCCCCCTCGCGCACGAGTTAGTTTTCTCTGGGTACTCCAGTGTCCACCTGCACGTAGAAACACTCATGAATGGAGTTGGCCAAATATCCCCAACATAGGACCACAGCGCTTGGGCACTGATTGGTGCCAGTTCTGACTGCATTTCCGCTTGTCTGCGGTTTCCCGCGTCCCTTGCTGGAAAATACAAAGTTAATTTATCATTTGATATAGCCAACGGCTAAGGGATCGGTGCACCTTACATTGGACTGCACTTCAATAGTAAGACGAGAACACTCATGGAGTTTTAAAATAGACATATCAATAAACAATTCACCCATTTGCTCCTGACTTTGAAAGATCTGAAGTCTTGTCGAAAGTGGAATGTCAGCGGGGTTTTGTGATTTTAGTCAAATGCAATGCGGGCACTAACTTCTGAAACACGATGATGTCTCCATCCATGAGCTCGTCCAGTGCCTTGTCCAGGCAAAAGTCAATCTCTTGAATTCGCTCAGTGAGATTTGGTTTAACTTCCTGTGGGAAGAAAGGAAAGTGGTTCAGAGTCATTACGCGCCACAGTTAAAATTACTACCCGTAACCACAACCAACTAGAGAAGCACCAGTCAAAGGATCAACAGTAAGAGTAGAACGCAGAACCAGGGATGACGTTTACTATGACTCAAAGATTGTCAACGCACAAGTAAATTGATTTAAATTTCGACTTAAAACTTTCGTGACTGGAGGAATTCATATTCTATGGTTATTTCGGTAAAGTCACGTAGATAGAGAAAATTATAACAATAAAATAATAACAAAATCGAAACGTCGTGATATTTTACTTATGTTGTATTCACTTTATTTTAATTTGTATTATTTTATTGTTATTATGTTTTCTATCTACATGACTTTAACAAAAGAACCATAGAATATAAATTGATTGAATTTCGGTTGTGTAACAAGCACAATGAATAAAAAACTCGCATTTGTCAATCACAACGTGTCCTTAAAAGGAACTTTGGAACAGGCAACATTTTGGGAAATGTCCCTTTTGCAATGGCACATAAAACTCACTTGTATGCCATGAAGGGTCGTTGCCCGAAAGGTCACAGACTATGTAATTTTTCCTTTTAAAAAGGGAACCCCCCGCCCCCAGTGGCAACTCTCCCCTGTGCGGCTCGACTCTGGCCTGCAAGTGGGCATTGGCCTGCCAGTAGGGGGGAGGGGGGGCAATGATCACTATATGTAATCCACATTGAGCAATGTCATGATTATAAAGGACATTTAACATGCAAACTCCAAAAATGCAGTCGTCATTTTTGGAATCGAACCCACGATCTCCTGTATATCAAAGGAGGTCGTTAACATCTCCCCACCACGGAACCCCACGCCAGAGCATGGCTTTTGACAGAACACGTGGTGGGCATAAAGTTTTCATTGCGAGACTGGCACTGGTCTGGCAGTGAAAGGCAACGTGTGCACGTGGAGACTGCAAACAAGTTCGAATTAAATTTAGATATATATGAAATGAGATAGTCAGAGTATACAGGGCGAGAATAACACGCGAGTAATTGACACTATTAAGGCATGACTTGTACAAAGCATGTCCTTCAAGTTATTTTACACCTATGAACACCGAGCTCGATTATGATTGAACAAAGTAGAGGCAAAATTTGATTTAAAGCTTTCGTGACTGCAGGAATTCATATTCTTGGTTCTTTTGGTAAAGTCACGTAGAAGGGAAATAATAAAAATATAAAAAATACAATTCTCACGACGTTTCGACTGCAACACAAGCAATCATCATCAGGTGTGAAAACCACAGCAAGAAAATTTGGTTTTCAAACCTGATGATGATTGCCTGTGTTGCAGTCGAAACGTCGTGAGAATTGTATTTTTTTATTTTTATTATTTTATTGTTTCCCTTCTACGTGACTTTACCGAAAGAACCAAGAATATAAAGTAGAGGCAGTATGTATTTTAACATAGACAACTACTAACGGATTTGCCGTTACTGTATTCTCCTTCGGCACACACACTGCAGTCAAGTGGCAATGCTGCGACAAAACAAGTGGCAGAGGTGGCACCAACCTCATAGAGGATAAGATTCGTTCCCTGTGGGAAGCCAGCTCTCTCACACATCACTGGCAGCAGATCTCCTGGCAGGGCAATTGGGGAGGGAGGGGGGGGGGGGCGGGGGCACACAACAAAGCCAGCGTTAAACACATTCACCCACCAGGCAACAGACGCTGCAGTGGAGGGTGGAAGAACCAGAAGTGAACCGACATAGCGTCGCAACGCTGCCGTGAGTTTAACATACCCAGCGGGAATGTTTGTGACCACGACCGCGTTCAATCTCTACGTGTAGCGGACACAGAAAAGGTGTCACACGGTGATGATGCCGGTGCTACTAGTTACGGGCAGTTCTCGGATTATAATGAGTTTATGCTTGTATGCACGTAGAACTTATTTTGCGCTGTACATAGCCAACCGTGCTCATCGGAAGTGTGGGGGGGAGGGGCAACGAACTAAACACAAAAAGCAGTTCTAAAGAAATGAGGTATGCCGAGCGGTATGCCGTTTTGCAATGGTGGGTTGTAAATCGGGCGCACGCCGTCATGAATATATTCTTTTTTTTCATGCGGCGAGTGCAACATTATTTGCATATTTGCAGCGCAATTGCGTGTGCCATGATAGTGGCCTTCTGGTAAACTAAAGAAATGACCAATGCATAACTTCATCTAGTCAATGCTTTAACGACAGCAGAGCTGTCCCGGAAGACGAAATATGAATAAGGGGTATCCCCCTTGATTTACGGAAGGGATGAAGACATCATCAATGAAGACATGTTAAATAGAATTTTACGGAAGGGATGAAGACATCATCAATGAAGACATGTTAAATCGAATTTCGTGAATCTGAACGGCTTTTGCTATTCATTGAGGACTTTCGTGACTGCAGAAATTAATATTCTTTGGGTCTTTCGGTAAAGTCATGTAAGATAGGTTCAAAGAAAATAACAAAAGCTACGGCCGCATGTGTTGCGATCGAAACGTCGTAGTTTTTGTTATGTTATTTTAACCTATCTACGTGACTTTACCGAAACACCCAAAGAATATGATGAAAAATAAAACAGGTGTTAAGATGTTCAAACACCAAATCGATACCTTTTGTAAGGCTTCATATGAAGTCTGCATTAATCACACGTACTTGGAGCAAAAAATGATCAAGGCCATAAAGAAGGCTGTCCTCTGGTGCAGGCCAAACAGTTTCCAAGACGGTGCCATATGTGATCAGAGAGCATGTTTGTTTTCAAGCATGGTTCTTTCTTCAATGATTTCATGAGCTCACAAAATATACATGTTCCCCGCATCCGCACATCCCTACTGAGAAAGAGTGCTAAAAATCTTGATTCTCTTGATAATCCTTGAAACACAAGTTTGTAAAAGAACCACCCCAATATTATCGTCGCATATTACAAATTTTCTTGCTGTGGTTTTCACACCTGATGATTGCTTGTGTTGCAGTGGAAACGTCGTGAGAATTGTATTGTTTAATATTTTTATTATTTGATTGTTTCCCTTCTACGTGACTTTACCGAAAGAACCAAGAATATTTAATTATCCATTCACATTCCCTATAATGCCCCATTTCTCATGACTCGCTGTGCTCACAAGTGGTCGCTAGGTGGTGCATTATAAACTACAGATCAGCAGACACTCTCATGCTTTTAAAAGAAGTACATGAGGCTTCACTCTGTTGCACGGAGTACATGGTCGAGGAATTGTGATAATATAGAACTATCATGCAGCAGTCAGTCAATGCAAAGAAATCATAAAATGCGTCACAAAAGCACTAATTTACTACGTATAGTGTAGTTCATATAAAAATACCCTGTTGAATTTTTCCAACAGTTAATCCGTTTTTGAAACCACAAAAACTTGTTTTACAATTTCAATGACTACATATACAATCTTCTGGATAACGTTATTAGTAATTTCCACAATCAGAAAGTTGCGAGTTTTCATCCTGGAGGTTGATAAAATTAGTACCACTTTGTGGGGAAGTTTAAAAACTCAACTATTTTTTTATTTTACCAGGTAAGGCCCAGTGAAGTGACTTGGCCACAAATTATGCCTCAACAAAGTGGCGTATCATGTGGAAATGTATAGCAGTAGGCAAATACTCTAAAAGCACGTTGATTCTTAATGAAGGGAAAAACCGGAGGACCCGGAGAAAAATCCACAAGGCCGCGGGGAGAGAGAGACATGCTAAGCTCCATCTACAATAGGCATCAGGGTCGGGATCGAACCGATGACTCCTGTATACCAGGCGACGTAGTTTACATCTCGCCACCGTGGCGCCCAGAGTAGTCCTGTAGAAACACTTGCTCCCACCATATGAATGTCAAATTTCCTCCACCTGCTCAGGGCTGCAAACAGGTGATGAGTGCACTGCCTTCATGCTCATGTGGGTAGGAAATCACTTTTGACTATTGTTTGGTCAAAGCGATGGTACACTGCAGAAAGAAATGTGGGGGATGGAGGACTTACTGATTTTACACGTGATGGGCGTGTAGATGTGCCCGCAGTAGTTGAGGGTCTTCGTCTTGGGGTCGTACATCTTCAGGAACAGCATGACGTCCCCTGAAACGTGATTTCGCACTTTTTACATTGCGGGTTTTTTTAGAGGCTGGTGTGCGGGTGCCGAGGGAGCCGGCAGGAAGTCATTAACTGGCGTGACTCACGATCTTTGTCGAAGGGGGGCAGGGCGCCGCCCGTCGCCACCGTCTCCGCATCCACCGTCTCCAGGAAGATCGTCCACGGGTTCTCGTTCTCGCTCAGCTCGATCATCTGGGTGGCACAAAAAAACCGCGCCACCAGTCAGCACCATCGGCGTCGCCGTACGCTGCGAGCACCACGGGATAAAAGTTGGGGGGGGGGGGGACGGAGGGGGGTAACGGCAAAGGCAGCAAATGCTTCAATGGGAAGGGCAAGCAGTGTGGCAGCAACAGTGGTTCTCAAATCTTTGTTTGGCTACTGTACACTACAGCTGTTATATTTTGTTTCAACCGAGTGACCCCCCCTGCCCCTTGCCTGACCCCAACATGGTTCTGAGAAATAAATGTAAGAATAATGAACATCAATACTTAAACCAATTGTCCCATTTTGTGAGGTATCCCTAACTCGCTAACTGCAAGCGAAAATAAAAAAAATTCAACGGACGCTCTGCACGTGTGTAGTGTACTCTTGGAAACCCATTGTTTACGAGTTTAGAAAGGTTTTTTTAAGTTGTTCGAGGTTACCATATGGATTTACATTTACCGGTAGTCATTTTATCTTGGCAGATTCACGCATGATTATTCACCAATGACTCATGTATGATATAGTTTCAAACATTTCTAAATCAGTTCGCATACCACCTTGGACATTGACCGTGAACTGTAACAATTTTTATGACATTGACCGTATGTACAATTAAATAATGAGTTGCCAAGATACGAAACAATTTGATTTACGAAAGGGTCTCAGGGATGTAACCCGCTCGTAAGTCGAGGACTGCCTGTACACCTAAAACCGCCCATACAATGTGAAGGATAATGGGATGCTTACAGCATCAAACCACTCCTTTGGTTCTTTCGGTAAAGTCACGTAGGTATAAAATAAAATAAATAAAATCACGGAAAGATGTTATTAACCAGGTAAAACCTTAACTGCGTTATGGTGTTGCCTTCATATCCGCATCTCCAGTTTCTTCAGCCTCCCACTCCCAGGCCCGCTCACTTCCTCCTCCCCCAGCATTCTGTTCTTGCTCGCTCCTTAATCCCTCTAGTGAGCAGCACTACACTCCCCCTACCCCACACCCCCCTCTCTATCTCTCCTCCCTGGCTCCTCCCCCCTCTCTTACCTACATAGCCTCTTGCTACAGCAGCCCTTTTGCCCACTTCAGCAATTGTTTCTTGCTGTGGTTGTCCCACCTGATGACAGACGCTTGTGTTGCGCCCAAAACGTCGTGATTTAATCTATTTTATTTTATACCTAGGTGACTTTACCGAAAGAATCAAAGAGTATGGATCCCTGCAGTCACGAAAACTTAAAATCTAGATTAGCATCTAACCAATAAAAGCCCTCACAAATTAGCTATTTTAACTGGAAGATAAAAAGTCAAATCAACTACAAAGTGGGCTCAACCTTTAGATATTAAAGATTTCCATTTCTGTGCACACTTTCATGATGATAGCACTCAGAACTCACTCGATCCCCCCCCCACATCCTTGCCGTTGAGGGTTGAAAGAAAAACGGGCGAACTGCGGCAGGGGCGGCCTGATTATGAGCGTGCGTGCGAGAGCGACTTACGTGACGGCCGTTCTCCGTCTCGTAGTCCTGCATGGCGGGCCGCCGGGTGCCATTGCGCCGCGCCTGCATGGGCCACAGCCTCATCTGCTCCGTCGAATATCCCTGCAGGCATAGAGAGAGCCACGCGCGCGTGAGCAGAGAAAACAAAGATTCCCCGCGCAGCCTTATCCGCCTGTTGAGGAAAGCGCTGTTAAGAAAGCAGTACCTATGGTCCACAAAAATTTTTTTTGGGTTAGTTTGGGTGAATATAAGTGTCGTTAAACCTGCCACCACCCAATACAACCAATTAGTAAGGTTTGTCACCTGAACAGAACATGCCAATTCTTCTTTCCAAATTTAGAAACATGCGTTTAAGAGTATTTGGCTGCTGTGAATTTCCACACAGTAAGCCACCATCATTTGTGGCCAGGTCGCTTCTGAAAGAGCTACATAACTGACGTGGTGGACACCACGTGACACGAATAATCAGGAAATAAAAACAAGCCCTCTGATTGGTACTTAACGGGCCTGAAAGGGGATTGGCTAAAGGCAGGGTATTGAAGGGATTGGAGGAGAAATACATGGAAAGGGTGGGAAACGCAGGATGATTGGACAGGGCGGATGGTTGGAATCCATTACAAAAAATGGATGGTGATTGGCTGAAGGGAAGGCGGATGGTCCAGGAACCTTTGGTAAAAGGGCTTGAGGGATATAAAGAGTTCGGAAAGTGAGGGAGTTCGGAACTCTGTGAGTGAAGTAAATGCTCGATGACTGTCTCATGCTGGAAGTAAAAATAACTTATCTTATTGAAGACTACTGCGTTGGGTTGTCACTACAAATGTATCATTTGATTTGGATGATAAACGCAAGCTTCGTACATGTGGTGTCTAAACGCTAGGTGGGTATCACGAGATGCTGCAATATTTGCGCAGCTTAACATTATTTATTCGATCTACGGATAAATGTAATAATCGGGTTTTTCCCCTTTTTTCTGGCAACAAAACTGAAACCTTTTTACGAAGATGCATGTCTGCATTAACCTCAATACCTGCAGTTAAAATGCAAACAAAAACATAGTATGATAATATATGCATTGTCCTTGAAACTGATTGGTCCACACCAAGGGACGGCTTTCTTTTGAGCCTCGACCCAATTGGTGCTCGACCACATGACGCCAAAAGGCGTACAGCTCAAAGACAATGCACTATCAAAGTAATGAGGGCTCGGGGTGAGCATCTACATCATTAGACCTCCTTTGCCAGTACCAAAATTTAATAATAGGGCTTTTCCCCTTTTTTCTGGCAACAAAACTGAAACCTTTTTACAAGGATTCATGTCTGCATTAACCACAATAACTGCTAGAAATTCTGTACGTCTTCTGGCGTCATGTGGTCGAGCACCAATTGGGTCGAGGCTCAAAAGAAAGCCGTCCCTTGGTGTGGACCAATCAGTTTCAAGGACAATGCATTTATTATCATAGTATCTTTTTTGTTTGCATTTTGACTGCAGGCATTGTGGTTAATGCAGACATGAATCCTTGTAAAAAGGTTTCAGTTTTGTTGCCAGAAAAAAGGGGAAAAGCCCTATTATCACATTTTGGCACTGGCAAAGGAGGTCTAATGATGATGGATTAAAATGTTTTCTTACATTCACATACTTCAAATCCTGCGCATAGGCGATTTCCGATTGATGAAAATTACAAGCAAATTGTACTGTTAAGCCATTTAAACCAATAGCACAATACAGGAGACGTAACAATACACACACAAAATACTTCCTTCCTGATTCATACGCCGACCCCGAATAATGAAAAAGAAACGAATTGTGGGGGGAAAAAAAAAACATTCCATGCCGAGTTTCATCTTTTCCCCCATGTCCCCAATCTCGTGGAATAATTTCCAAGCGCCGCTACTGAATGGATTCAATCAAACAAACAATAAGCGCCCCGTAGACGACTTCTATGGGGCCGTCAATAAAAGGGTGACGGCCGCTCCCTGCAGGGTCTGTAGATGACGCCACCTTTGTGGAGCGGGAGAGCGCTACCGCCGCTCCCGCGGCTGTCAAGCGCTGCTGCGGCGTGTGCGAATGGCCCTCGCTGCTGCGGGTAAGCGAGCGAGTCCTCTCCGGCCGCAATGGTAAAATCCAGTAGCCGCCTGTGTCCGTTGAAATGTTGGAACATTTTTGTTGTTTGCTACTTTCCTGGAAATTACCAGAACGCGGCAACGGGCCAAATTCGTGGCCGACTAAAATGCCATATCTGTTATTGTTGGTCAGGTGTGTCATTATGGTAGTCTGGCAATGTCACTGTGATATTAATGGAGGATATAAATCACTATGAGGCTAGAATGGATCGCCTGACCGTAACACTTTATTTTTATTTTATGTTTTATTTTTATTATTTTATTTCCATTCTACGTGACTTTACCGAAAGAACCAAGAAGACGTAACAATTTATATAAATACTTTGTATTATTTATATTTCCTATCTTCGGGCATGGCGCACCGAGATCCCTAGATGATTTGCGCCTTATAAATGTTAATTATTACCTCCTAAGTCTCGATGTTTACACACTGCACCAGGTACTTATTTGAGGCTGGGCCAGTTCAGATAATCGTCACTGGTGTTGGCCATGAGCAGGAATCGAACACGGATTGCTGGATTTGTAGCACAGCGCGCTAAACCTCTACACGACCGCTCCCCACAACACACACAAAATAAAATACACAGTGTGCCACGGTGTTAGCGAGCGTCACTCACCATCGTCTGGGAGAGCGTCTGCATGAACTCGTACAACGTGCAGTTCTTGAGCACCTTGAAGATGGCGTACTTCACCTTCTCCTCATCGTACATGTCGTTGCCCTGGTGTCCACAGAACTGATCTTCGGTCACTATCTGGAGACCGGACAAAAGCAGCAAAAGCATCACTGCAGCTGTGCGACCACACTATCCAATTCGTATTATGAAAACACGGGTTATTGGAGAACAGACTGTACACCTATGCAAAACATTTCCTTCCGTTTAATAGCTATCGAACAATGCTTTGTACACAATGAGAACTACGAAATTATGCAATAAAGAAATGGATGTTAAAGGTAGGAGTAATGTCTGTGCGAGTGTACGAGGTCGCAGAGCGGACTTTAACGTGCGGGGGTTGCGACACGATTGTTGCGCACTCGTGGATAGGCCGTTGAGTTTTGAAAAGAGAAATCTGTGGTAGTGCACCCACAGCACTCGTTGCAGACAATGCTGTCACAGAAAAGTACCCTGGCAGCACTAACTTTAGTGGAAAATGTAAAGTTTTAAATAATTTTAAGATTAAAAACTTGCGTGTATCGCTACCCAGATATACTAAGCATACTGTACACATGCAAGCACGTGTACAGAATGTGGGGACATTTAATGGAAGAATATAATCTCCTGAAAAGCGTTCAGATACAACAAAGAAAGGTATTAACCCTTTCCCGTCCCAAGGAATTCAAGTTGCAGGGTGCGTCCCTGTTCACCGTTGAATCTCTGAACGCACAAGCGGCTCTGCGTTCATTTTATTTAGAGAGGCGTAGCAGCGTCGTTGTTTTTAAAGACACTGTACTCACTGCAGAGAACCGTAGCGACACGACCGTACTATATGACTGCTGGCACCAAAGCGTGCCACACACCCTCCTGCATGGTGTTGTGGGAGCCTCGGTACTAATAAAGTTATTTTATTTTTTTATTCTGGTTTAGTTTTGATTACATATACATTTGTCATCGGAACGGAAAAGGGTTAAATTGGCCAATTAAACCTCCATGGAGGTGTACTAAACATTTTTTTATTTATTTTACCAGGTAAAGCCCACCAAGCTATATAGCTCCTTTTCAAAAGTGAGCTCGTCATAAATTATAGGTGAACAAAGTGGCTTATGTGGAAATGTATAGCATGTTTCTAAATGCGCAGGACCCGGAGAAAAACTCACGTGACCACGGGGGAGACACGCAAACTCTAAACATATAGGCATCGGGGTCGGAATCGACCCCACGACCTCCTGTATACCAGGCGAGGTAGTTAACATCTCGCCACCGCGGCGACATCTGGAAATCATCGGCCGGAGAGCGTGAGCGCGTGTAGTGATGGGGAGTGGGGCCGGTCACCCGCACTCTACCCCCGTGCGTGTGCCGCACCTGCAGCTGCATGTACAGGTGAGCTTCCTGCCGCTCCTTTCTCTTCTGAGCCTCCACGCGCTTCTCCTCCTGCAGCCGGTCCACCAGCTGCATGGGGATATCCGTATCCTTCACCATCTGCAGCACGTAGTCTGCGGACACGGCCACGCACGCACCACGGTCAACTGGAGCCATTTGTAGGGGCTGCCATGCCAAGTGTGCGTTAAACAACAGTGTGGGGGGTGGGGGGGGGGGTTGACGCGCACGTTTACCGGATTAAATATGCGGGCCCTGCTGGGCAGGTCCACAAAGTGACTCGAATAGAATTTAGACAGGCTGGTGAGGCTGTCCATTTTCGGAGCCACAATATTGTTGGAACAAGCGCTGTTAGTGAGCACCTATTAAGGCTGGCATGGCACAGGACAGGCCGAGTGGCCAGCTCCCCAGTGGCGATGTTTACACACTGCACCAGGTACTCATTTGAGTCCACCAAAGGGAGGCCCATGACCAGTTTAGATTACCTACCGTTCCCCACACAAGCAATGACACGTAAAAAAGACAAACAAACACGCACACACACAGAGTGTGTGAGCTAACACCCATGCACTGACATTCTAATGCACATGCGCAGATCACAATGGTCAATTTAATATTTCTCTAATCCATGTTCCACTTTCTAATCTGGAGTGAAATTCAAAGCATGTTTAGTTTGTCCTTCCCCCGGAACTCCGATTAGCACGGTTGGCTACATACAGTCCGAAAAGTCCAACATACTTACAGACGTATATCTCCATCATGCGTCTTTATGTTTTTTTCAGGTGTTGTTCCGTTAAGCACGCACACAGAAAACTATAACAAGTTGATAAAGTAACCAAAATGTTGTTGTGCAGAAATGTATAAATTCCAACAAGACAAAAGAAAAGAAAATTGAGGCTAAACGGCTCTCGGCAGACTCAGCCTTTCACAATAAGTGAATAAAAAATCGGAACACACATTAACATCACCAGAGACATCATCCTGGGTAGGTCTAACTGAACCCAGGGAAAGGCACGCATCTGACAATGGTTTTATTTTACTGCGGTTGACCAAAGCCAAGGCGGAAACATTTCAGCCGCGAAATCTAAGTGAAGCTTCATGTTGTCCCACAGGTCCCCCCCCCCCCGTTTACAGATTCAGTATTATCCAGCAAGGAATACCGATAACACGGAGCGTAGAAATGGAACGATACTTGCATTAGTACAAGTGGTCCTGCGATGTTTATTTTTGTGACAAGCTGAAGCCAATGCGAGGGGGGAGTCACTGAGTGTATCAGCTGCATCATCCGTTTGTAATGGCCTTGCCTCAAGGGCCCAAACTTCATCTCCTGATGAAAAAGATTTCACGTTGCCAGCAATGAGAGCTATCGCTTGCAAAATGATGCCAAACAATACGGACAAACGACCTGGCCACGTGTCACGCTGTGTTGAGACAAGGCTAAAACAATCAAATAGTGACAGTGAAAAGCAATAATAGGGTTTTTCCCCTTTTTTTGGCAACAAAACTGAAACCTTTTTTTATAAGAAATCATGTCTGCATTAACCACAATACTTGTGGTCAGAATGCAAACAAAAAACACTGATAATGCACAAAGTAATGAGAGCTGGGGGTAAGCATCTACATGATTTGACCTCCTTTGCCAGTACCAAAATATACGAATAGGGGTTTTCCCCTTTTTTCTGGCAACAAAACTGAAACCTTTTTACAAGGAATTATGTCTTTGAGCTGTAAGACCTTTGGCGTCCTCTGGTCTAGCACCGTTTGAGACGAGGCTCAAAATAAAGCTGTCTCTGGTGTATACCAAACAGTTTCAAGGACAATGCATATATTATCAGAGTGTGTTTTTGTTTGCATTCTGACCACAAGTATTGTGGTTAATGCAGACATGATTCCTTATAAAGAATGGTGAAGCCAGTTATACGTGTTAACATGTCAGACTCTGATATAAGTTTAACAAATAATAATTGTTTCCTTTGTTTCATTAAATGTCCAATTACATGATTGATCTCGTAAAAAAAAGGTCAATTATTTCTTCTTATTTTAGCACATTCAGAATTGAATTACTTCTCAATTTAAATGTTTTATTTAGCTTGTAAATAACACTTTCTTAGGATTGCAATAACCAACAAAATTGCAGATGACATTACAAAGGCAAGTACATGATATACACAACACAATCAATCATATACAACTGCAGGACTTTCGACAGTGGTATTTGCACACAAACTCATGACAATCATGTCATGATGTCTTTGACATCCATTTCACAGCCGAGTCGATTGATAAAACCCCGGGAGAAACCGTCAGGCCGCATCACAAAACGGATGACTCAGTGCGGCATGAGTCAGCGACGGGCACGCAGATCTCTCAGCTTCCTAGTCACGTGGCAAAGAACCGAGAGATTTTAGGGCTTCATCAGCTGCAGCAGCTTTCGGCTCAGTCATCGAAAAAAGACGGTCACTGCATTCGCACGCTTTCGGATGTGCTGCTGCGGCCGTCTGGAACGCTCTTCCTTCCGATATTAGGAAGCTACCGAAGCTATGTACTTTTAAATTATCTAGATTGAAAACTCATTTATTTAAAACTACTTTTTATGTTTAGTTTTTTGTCCTTCCCCCACACCTCCAATTAGCATGGTTGACTTTCGTACGGTGCGAGAAGTTCAATAAACATACGTGCATAAGGGTACCGGACACCATCGAGAGACTCGCCGAGAGGCGAGAACCAATGCGCTCGCTTCACCGATCGACTATGACCAATGTGGTCAAGTCTGGTTGAACAACGCCCGACGATTGGTGCATATACATATTAGTAATAATCGTTATTTATAGAGCTTGTCTTTCATACCACAAGGTTCAAGGCAACTTGACACGAGTTAAAACAACAAAACTATTACAGAACCGGGGGTAAGAGAAGAAAACTCGGAACGTTATAATACATTGAGGGAAAGGGAAACATTAACGAAACAGTAAAACGATCATAAGATGCCAGAATAAATCAGCATCGTCCTTGGTAATGTTGCTCGGGGCCCATAAGCCATAGGCCCTAGTTCCCTGCAGCAATAGATCCACGAGCCATAGCGGACTCTGAGAAGGAGGAAGCAGCGGGTGCTAAGAAGAATCAATGGGTATGAACAAGGGGGGATGACAGCTTTGCCTATCGCCATATCCAACACGTGGGACTCTGTCTGGTGACTCAAATCTTGCCGAGATAAGAGCTGAGGGTGTGATGGAGATGGAACTGGGAGAAATAACTGGGACACGGTTGGACTCGGTGAGTTGAGGAGAAAAAAGGGGAGAGACCTGAATACACATTTTAATCATCGAGGGAGGGCCCACAGGATCTACGCCACAAGTAGAGTTGCCGGTCTCCAGAAGTCAAACAAGGTCTTTCGATTCAAGAGTACAGTCGGAGCTCGTTATAAACGAAGGACGCTTTCACGCAAAAATACATTATTTTGAATGAGAAAAAAAATGCAAACATTTCGTTGGCCCAAGTACAGATTATTAGGTGGATGTTAGGTGGAATATTACATCGCACGATCATGAGAGATGGCGGCGGCTTGGGGAGGCCTTCATCCAGCAGTCGACTGACCAAGGCTGATGGTGACGATGGCTCCAGCATCTCTGTACAAATTATAAGACGTTTTAACGAATGAGAGACCCGGCCGAGCTCCCGGCCCCTGGCCCACAGACGTAGCGTTGAGAGTGCGCGGAGTGGGGGGGAGGGCTCACCGAGCTTGCTCTCGCGAATGTAGACCAGCATGTAGGCGTTGGTGCAGTGCCGCACGGAGAAGTCGTCATCCAGCCCGCCGTAGTTGTGCTCAATGGCCTCCTTCTTGGTGCAGCGCGAGACGACGTCGTCATCAAACTTACACCACTGCACGAACACAAACCCCCAAGTTGCTTGAACAACTCCTTTTTGAATTATTACTGTGTCACGACCAACTATTACCTCTTCCATTATCAACAATAATAATATAGTCATAAATTAAGATATCTACTTTGTGTTCAAGAATAAACATAAACCACAAGTCCCTTGAACAACTCCTTTTATAATTATAATTGTGCTCGCCTTTTGCCCGTCCAAGGACGGGTGTATTGCAGTAAAATCTGAAACTTGCAAGTGAAAATCAGATCGCGACGTGATATCCGTTGCATTAATGCGTGTGCAATTTATAAGGCAGTGGTGACACAGACCTATTTAATTTTAAGGTTATAATCCCTTGTTCATCATGACGTCCTTTTTACTTCGATGTCTCAACAGCGTTACAGAGATCGCGTGACGTGAGGGTTCTGCCTTTGTAGTGAGGGTTGTGAGTTGACGCCGAGGAGGGGGGACGAGGCACCTCGGCCCCCCATGTGGAGTGACGTCAGCCACTAATCATTATGAATGAGGGGGGGGGGGGTGTCCATTTGGAGGACGTCACCTGCTCATGAATATTAGATGGGGGCTGGTCAATGTGGAGTGACGTCTCGTGCGTTAAGGACATTCCTGGGTGATAATAGTAGGTATTACTGACTACTACCACTTCCACTATCAACAAAAATAATAAATATATTATCATTTATATTTACTTTGTGTTCAAGAATAAACAAACGTCTATGTGGTCAAACAATCCTTTCCTCTGTGGCGTCGAACTAGAAGCTTGTGTCAATGTATGTAATAGCATCGACAGATATACAAATTTTTGTTGTGTTTAGTTTGCTGTCCTTCCCTGCACCTCCGATGAGCACGGTTGATTACGTTGCCTTTAAACGTTGTTAATATTTTTTTACAGTGAGATCGCTTCCTTTGAACATTAGAAATTATATTGTCTACTTCAAGGTCTGAGCCAGCTGTGGACGCTGCGCGCTTGCGGGATGGCCCAATCGCGAATCTCCGACGCTGGCGCCGAGCCGTCACCACCGCGGTGGCGCTCACCTTGCTGTCGCGGTGCTCACCTTGCCGTCCCCCATGGGGTTCAGGTAGACAACGTAGTGACCGCCGTGGTTGTCCCCGCTGTGCACCAGCACGGCGTGCAGGATGTAAGTGGCCGAGTCCTCCGCGTCCAACTTCTGCAGGAAGTCGTCGAGGATCAGCCTCTCGGGGAACTCGAACCTGCCAGGGCATTGAGCAGCAGCAAGCAGCAGCAGGGACATTGCGTTAACGTCAGCAAGGCCAAAAAGATGGCTTAGGGGCCTACACACAGGCGTCCACAACCTTTTCCTGCTTCTGTACTGCTAATGTAGATGCAGTGCAAACAACTACAATTCCACGCTCAGGGGGTCAAGCCAGATAACTGTGTCAGGAGCAGAGTGTATAGCTGTGACGTCTCCTTCGTATTTGTGGATCGGGCATTGCGTCGTTCTACGTTCTGTTCTGGATGATCACAGTCGCGCACTACTGGAGAGTTTTTAATTTTACATTCTTGCATCAAGTATCTGCATCTACTGCCATAGTTTGTGCAGCGGATGCAGTTTACGGTGAACCATGAGCTTCGTGAAAGATCTTTTGCTCTACAGCCAACGATTCCAGAGACTCCATGTACGTAGAACTTCTTTCGCACCGTACGTAACCAACCATGCTAATCGAAGGTACTCCCATGGACACTGTTAAAGTTGCAACCGAAAACAGCAAATGTATGTTAATACGTAAGTTTTCTCAGCCGACACTTGGATTCATAATTGATGTTTAGGTGAGGCCACATTACTGACTTTGCGACATGTACCCTGGAGCAGTATGTTTTATGGACCATCATATAAGAATGCACAGAAATAACTTCAGAAATAAAAACTATAAGCAAATTACAATTCCAAATACTTATCTCACCGAAACATGTAGCCGATTGGAAAGCAATGGGAGATTTCACATCTAAATTATGGCAAGAAGTTAATATGCGGGGTCTCCATTACTAAGACAGCAGTGCAATACACCATGCCAAAGTGTTTTGGCTGCTTTGTCAAGATGTGGATGCGGCTCTGTGCGTGGCCTTCATAGGTATTCACTAACAACACTTGCTCAAAACAGTCTGGTCAGGCTATACGGGGATCTTTGTCTTGGTAGCGAGAAAAGCAAGGCGATGCATTGCACCTCAATGCTATCATCACTGTGATGAATTATGAAAGACGTTTAGATTTAACAACACCCAAAGGTGGTCTGCAGTGAATGTACGAGGGCACCTCAGTCTTATCCAGACCACCAAGCTCAAAAGCCCCAGTGTGGTCATTTCATTATCCTAACAAATTAGCATTAATTTAAATATATTTGAATGCAAATCATTTAAATACATGACTGTAAATGAACAATTTCACATAAATGAGAATGATGGGATAACCATATTTTCTCCATTTTTTGAGATGGTGGTCCGGATGACAAAACTTCACACTTTAATTTTTGCGATATGTTTTTAAAAAAGAGAACCGTTATCTTATCAGGCTCTACCCCGGGGGCCAGGTAGGTAATCGATTAATGGATCAATTACAATTCACCGCGATAGCTGCTAGATTGTTAAATGTCGGAGGCCAGTAACATATCAATGCATTTTTGCAAGCAGCTGCAACGATCCTGCTCAATGGAGCTTTCCCCAACAACTCGTTCGAGGGAAGTTCTCTTACACAAGCTTAAATTATCGAAATAACCCACAGCGTGGTTTAGCAGAAATCATCATCTCACAATGAGGGTGGATGCTGATGATCCAAAAGATGATGGTGGTAATGGTGAGGACTGTTGAAGATGATGGCAAGGATAGAAACTGATGCTAACCGATGCCGAGTGCACAAAAGTCCAGTGTCTCGAAAATTGACGGAATTAACACGAGACCAGACTCCGTATCGTATTTGGTACATTGGATTCTACCGACTTTCATAATACTGAGCATTAAGAATTGTATATTAATCATTAAGACTAAAACGGATGAAGATCAAGACATTAAGGTCCAAACATTTCAACAGACGTTGAATTTATGACCATCCGGGCGTCTTAGAGCGCTTGACACACAATAAGGGACTTAGATAACATCTCATAAAAATATTGGAAAGGGCACCCCCCCCATTGGCAGCTGTCCCTGTGGGCACAAGGTGATTCAGCAGCTGACCTGCAGCATAAGAACATTAGTTTACAAGTAGGGGGCAGCGATTGCTGTGTGTCATCCCTAATTGAGTAACTGGTGGCAATTTTTTTAAAATTTTATTTGAAAAATTCGGAGCATGACACTAGAGCACTTTGCTCCACACGGTTTACAAATTAGGTTACGTGATCTAAATATCCACTGCGAAGCAGCTGGCGTGTGTAGTAGTATTTGTGTATATATGTATGTACGGTCCATTCTCCTATAACGTGTGTTTTCATAACGCAAGTTGGATATAACGCAATAAATGTATTATAGGGAACACATTTTTCTATAACGCGGATGCGAATTGGATATAACACGATTGAGTGAATGGAACTTTGTCACGCGAGTAGGAATAAGCCAATGTACGGCTGCCTCGGCATAGCATCGCAAGGCGGGATTTGCTGCTGGATGCTACCCACGTGAATCAATCTTTTGTTCAGCCTGCGTTTGCATCTCACGTGTTAACGTGGACTGTGCTTTAAATCGATATTAATTTTATTATAACGCAATTTGTCCATAACGCGGTGTTCTTTAGGAACGCAACTACTACCGCGTTACAGGAGAACAGATTGCATGTAAAAAATTTTTCGCAGCGTACGTAGCCAACCGTGCTAATCGTTATCACACTATCAGCGTGAACCAGCGCAGCTAATGACAGGAAAGATGGCCACGGATAATTAAAAATCACGGATAATCCAAAAATAATCAATTTCTGCGGATCTCTATGCCAAACACCACTAACATAGGTATAAATTACACTAGCAATCGACAGACCGCAAATCGGATAAACCGCACGCGGATAAGCGAGAATCTACTGTATTTAGCATAAAAATGTAAGAGTATATTTTTCTGCCGATTTGACCAGAACGGCCTTTTTTCTCTGGTAATGCTACATACGAGACGTCTTTGCAACCCGGTGGGGGGGGGGGGTTGATTCCACGGAGAGTTCTCAGGGTTTCTTTTTAAACAGCGATGCTGCCATCGCACAGCTATTCATAGAAATTCTCAGGTGGGCGCTGCACAAGGAGCAACAAAGGATCCTGGGTTCCCAGGACCCTGCAGCACATCAAGCGCAACGTCACCGCCCAAGTAGCAAACGCCACCGTCGCGATTACATTTGTGACAGACATTTGCCAGTTCGTTTTTTTTTAAGTTGTGCTTTCGTTTATTTATAGCGGGTGCTGCTCACAAGTTTTTACTCGTGCTTACTAATGCCATCGCTAATAACAGCCAATTGATACGACAGTATATTCTTACCATAGCACTTACTCATACTTACTATACATAGGTATTTACGAAGATGAAAATTATTTATAACCACCCCCCCCCCCCCTGCCTCCAGCTGGTGTTGTCATTCGCGACACACCACAAACTTCGCATTTTCAGTTTTCCTGACGCCAGGTTTTACCCCATGCGTGTGCGGGCACGGTCTATTGGGGTTAAAAGCGAAGTGAAAAATGCCCTCGTGAGGCAATCTCTTGGGACCTCCTCGTATCGTCGTCAATAACCTCCTCAAATCACACAAGTTACTGCGTCAATGGCTCTGCGTGTCAGTCACAATGCCCCGGTATGTTTGACGTCGCCGAGTGCTGCCTCATTTTGACTCCAAGACACTAGAGACGTATTATGGTGTTGACGATGAACGAGGCACGACATGCGACTTTTGACCTAATTCTGATCGCGATCAGTGGTGCGCTGTCAAGTGGACAAAGTGAGGTAATGCACGTCACGTAACAGGTCTAAGCTAAAAAAACCTTTTTTTATATTTGACCAGTTAAAGCCCACTGAGCTATATAGGTCTTTTTTTTCAGAAGTAACCTGGCCACAAATGGTAGCCCAATGAAGAAGCTTATAGTGTGGAAATATATAGCGGCCAAATACTCTAAATGCATGTTCATTCTAAACGTGGAGGGAAAAACCAGAGGACCCGGAGAAAAATCCAGGCCGCCACAGGGAGAACATGCAAACTCCAAATATACAGGTGTCAGGGTCGGGATTGACCTCCTGTATAGGAAGCGAGCTCGTTAGCATCTCGCCACCGAGGCTTCACATTGTTGACAATTTAGATTTTACCTAACAATTTAGAACATTATGACGAGTGACTTGGATTAGGGTATCACGAAACTGTGAGAGAAGGCTACAGTGGAGGGAGGCATTCACCGAGCAGTGGATCGATCACGGTTGTTGAAGACAATGAAACACACGACTTAATTCTGCAGACGGTGCCAACAAGTGTGATACCCGGCTCTGGGGGGCCAAACGGCGAGTAGTGTGCGTGGCATCGCTAACTCACCGGTCATTGATCTTTATGTTCTGGTCGGTCTGTGGGTCGTACATGAACCTCATGAGTTGCAGGTGCAGCACAGGTGGAAATGACAGGAACTTCACACCCTTCTCTGCCTCCTGCACACAGGATGTCAACAAAACGCAGATGTTCTCAGATCTTTAAACACGCTGCTATTTTAACTACCACAGATTATTTATGAATTAAAATTTCCTGCAATTGTTTGTGGCTAGGTCGTGTTGATTTACAAACCAAATATATATACATTTTTATTTTACCAGGTAAGAACCACCACGGAGCTATATTGATCTTTTTCATAAGTGACCTGGTCACAAACGATAGTCCAATGAAGTGGCTTATCATGTGGAAAGAAAAAAATACAAATAAAACTCAACAATTTTTTAGCTTACCAGGAAAAGCCCACTGAGCTAATGCCTTATTTTTCAAAAGCGACCTGGCCACACACAAATGATAGCTCAAAGAAGTGGCTTTATTATCATGTGAATATTTATAACAGTGGCCAAATACTCTAAAATAATCTCAAGGAGGAGAACGCCTTGTGGCAGGGGGGGGGAGGCGGCACCTGTAGGCCGTGCTCCCCAGCGTCGTATTTGTTGTCTCCGTCCAGCTGCTCCACAGCCACATAGTCGTTAAACGACTCATAAACTGTGGGGGGGGGGGGGGGGGAGAGAGGAGCGAATACGTGGTCACCAACACTCACAACGACGCCTCTTGCCTTGCATCACAAAATCAAGGTTCGTAAGAGATTTTCACTGAGGCGACATAATAACCCGGTCAATATTTGCGTTAAGACCCTCCCCGGTGACTTCACTGCATTGACGTTCATTTTAAATGTACTGGAGTGACCCCACAGTGTTTGACTCAAAGTTGGAAAGCCTAAAGACATCTCTGGTGCACATCTCTTCAGAATAAGTGAAGACCCTACATCACCCAACACAGCCAAGCAAAGTAAAATATCATGCATGCAAGCAAGCGTTTAACATGTCAATTATCATTGTTTCATCTCATCAGTGAGTTCAAGCACAATTCTCACCACGAAATGTAGCAATTAAGGTAGAAGTTATGCTTGCAACCGAATCAAGCATCTTCAGCATGAACTCATAATCCAAAAATCAATTATTAATCATAATGCAGTAATTCCTCATTTAACGTGGTAGATTTGTTTCTGAAAAGTACCGAGTTAAGCGAAAACTATTTCCCAATAAGAAATCGCGTAAAAGGTGGGGTCTGTAATATGTACGTGTGTATGCTAAACTTATTTTGCACCGTACACAGCCACCCGTGCTAATCGGAGGTGCGGGGGAAAGTCTCGTGCAGACAGTTAGATGGCGGGACAAAGTGAAATGAGGGTACGTCGTGTACTGCGTCATTCTGCGCGTATACCCAGAATTCCCACACCGCTCAGCTCAAAGTAGTTTGTCGTTAACCGCTCAGAAAGTGCGTTAAAACGGGCACGTTCCACGCTGTGCAAAAAGCGTTCCCTGACAGAAGAGCCGCGTTATCGCGAAAACGCCTTGTGCGAACACGAGTTAAGCCAGGACTTGCTGTATTAGCTGGGCTGTGGTAAGATAGCCAAATTATGGATGGAGCCAAAACTGGGCCTCTGGGGTTCGAGTTTACGGAGCAACACCAACATCGGCGACGAGTGCCATCTGCACCGATCCTACCCAGTCCATACGTCACCAGTGTGGTAAAGTATGGTCAAAACAACTCCCCGAAATCATTACTATTATACAAGAATAACACTTTGTATGCTGTAAACACACCTCTTGTAAAAACGCAGAGCGCCACAATATGGTATTTCTAAGCATGCACTTAAAATGATAATGCGGGTTTTCATTTCCATATTTATCCAGTACAAATACAGAATCGTCTGTTTGAATGACAGTTATTATTATATATCTATCATACCCAAACCTCTCTATTTTGTACAATAAAATATTTTTCCAAGAATGTTTAAATTGCTTTCCTCAAGTTGTTTTCACATTTGTCATTATTTTGCCACTATTTCTTTAAGCTCTTTTGAGACTAAAGTGAAAAAAACAAATGATTCACGTTACACACGTCGCACAAACTCGCCGAGTGCCGGTTGCAACCTGTTAAGCTCTTCAGTAAGCAAGTTTAGAAATTTGATTTAAAGCTTTCGTGACTGTAGGGATTCATATTCTTGGTTCTTTCAGTAAAGTCACGTAGAAGAGAAACAATAAAATTATCACGACGTTTCGACTGCAACACAAGCAATCATCATCAGGTGTGAAAACCACAGCAAGAAAATTTGAAAAAAAGTGGCGGTTATTTTTAACGTTAAAAATAACCGCCACTTTTTTCAAATTTTGTGGTTTTCACACCTGATGATGATTGCTTGTGTTGCAGTCGAAACGTCGTGATAATTTTATTGTTTTATATTTTTTACGTTAAAAATAACCGCCACTTTTTTCAAATTTTCTTGCTGTGGTTTTTCACACCTGATGATGATTGCTTGTGTTGCAGTCGAAACGTCGTGATAATTTTATTGTTTTATATTTTTATTATTTTATTGTTTCCCTTCTACGTGACTTTACCGAAAGAACCAAAGAAGATGAAACCAAGAATAAGTTTAGAAATGTTATCATAATAGGGAGGGGGGCTTTATTTATAACTTTGGTGGAGGGTTGGATATTTACTTTTCAAGTTCCAGATATTGCTGGTAATAGAACTGCCAGTTGTATACAGGCCACTTACGTGGTGTGCATGCTAACCAATAAGATGTCCAGTCTACAGGGAACATCTGTGGGTATGAAGAAGCAATGCTGCAAATTGGCCAACACTCACTGTTTTTCTTGCCCTTTATACTCAGCTGGATGTCATAGTAATCTTCAATCCTTTCTGAGCGGTAGTCCACATGCTTGCACTGAATGTAGGACTGAAAAAGGAAGAGCATTTCACATCCTGAATTACTCTGCAGGCACTTAAATGAACACTCGTCAACAATAACGACGCCTTAAAAAGATATGGGTGACGTTCCAAGCAACGGTCCTTCATCACAGCACGTCAAGGTGATTTGCCCGAAATGTCGCCAATTTATATAATATTCTTTGAAGGCAGTGTTGTTAAGTGTGCCGAGATGTTTTGTTAATTGTCCTTGTGCACCATCACCAATGCAATAGCAAGACGAAATGTATAGAGTGAATGTGAGATTTTTTACATTGAAAGTTTTTTTTTTAACACAAGTAAAAAAAACACTTACCACCATCTTTCCTCCAAAAAGCTTCGGAATGGTACCTTCCACGCACGTCCCTTTCATCTTATTCTCTACGTTGTCAAGCAGCTGTGCGACGGAGAGAACGCGTCAACAATGCAGCAAGGTGGTGAAGTGTGCGCTGGTGTGCCTGCACTCTAAAATGCGACGCAACATTAGTGCAAGATTGACTTTAAACATGTTTTTACTCCCTCCCTTTCTTCCTCTTCCCCTTTAATAGACTGCTCACGGTCGCTACCCCGACCACACATGGTAGGACAGCGAGCCTGGATGCCCTTGTTCGATCCTTAATCTCGAGGGTGCATTATGTTAAGCTTGTTACACACATCTCGTGTGAAATCCACATTGTATTCTGGGTTCTTTAATGACAATGAAAGATGTTTAAAAAAAATATTTTTACATTTCTCAAATGCACAAACATAGCGCGGAACAATTTTGGACAATTTAGTTGTTACTGCACTGAACGGCAACGTGGCAGCGTTTGTGGATGGTGGTTGCCAATAACAGCAGACCAGAAAACAGCAGCATTTGCTGATGACAAATGGGAGAAGTCAAAACCAAATGCTGAGTTTCACAAAGTTCTATTGCAGCTAAGTACAAATGACCAACCCAGTTTGTGCCAATTAGCTGAAGATGCATTATTTGGAATTGTTAAAATTATAGTTTTTTTGCTTTGCTGTATTGTCTAATTTATACTGTTTTGATTATAGAATCTATGGCGTCTTGCCTGTACCGTCACATATGTAATGCTCGACTTGCCAGCATTTTCGTTTGTACTTCCGATCTCATCTGTAATGTCTCCCCCGTATTGTCTGTTATATCCATACCATTTCCATATCATTTTTATAGCCGTCTGTGTTGCTAGTACTGCCTCACCTGTTACTGCCTTATTCTGTATCATTACAAACGTCGTTTTATTTTCTTCTGTAATGCGTCTCGCTTGTACTATCTCCTCTGCTTCCCATATATGCAGCCCGACTTGTTTGTACTGTCTTCGATTCTTTTGTCATATGGACTGCTGCGAAACATTTCATCGGCATGGTCTGAAATATTGGCCACGTCTGCCATGTGCTGTCTGCTGTTTCGGAATGCTCTACGTGTCCTCTCCAATGTTCATTGGCATTCCATACAACTATTTTATTGAAAGGAAACATTTTAACAGAATTTGCTTTGTATAACTATTGCAATTCGAATGTTTGAATTGTTTCGGGCTCATACAGCGAATCGATTTTCATCCAAGAATCATTACAGGTCCAGCCTATGTACACGTGTCACTTCACGCCCTGGACATCCTTGCAAACAAGGTGGCGTTCCATCGAGGGAAGTCGGGTGTTTGAATAATTAAGCAAATGCAACTCAAAAAAACATTCCAGGCACATTCATCTGCTATTTAACTTTCTGCTAGGTGGGCCACAATTAATCATAATGTGCAAAGGATTTCAAAAATCTGGTGTTGTCAAGGGTTGCTTTTACTATGCTACTAAATGTCAAATTACAGCCGATATAAACTATAAAAATATATATATATTTAACCAGTTAAGGCCCACTGAGCTATACAACTCTTTTTTAGAAGTGACCTGGCAACAGATGATAGCTGAACGAAGTGGCCTTATGTGGACATTTACAGCAGCATCCAAAAAAGCCTCTAAACGCATGTTTCTATCCACCTAACACAACAGTAACATGAGGACGAGATGATCCATGAGACACTCAACAAATGTTCCTATCCCTTGGGACAAATTAATCCCAGGACTGTCATCCACAGCTAATAATTTCAAATACCACTGCATATTCACTTAAACAGCAGCACTTCAAATTTCACTTCGTGATCAGAAAGAATTCGTCAGATTAAGTATAGCATGCATTTTTCCTGTCACTATGGTTCAAGGAAAATTAAAACATAGCGATGAGATACTTTAACCACCGAACCAACTAATGTGATTTTTCTTACCCAATGAAGACGAGTACAATTATGTTAATATATGCATATAAGCAAATAATTGTGGTAACTGGTACATAACGGAATTCCGAAATGTATTTTTTTTCCTCGTATGAAAAACTATTTAATTATAGCGTTTGCCTTGTCATTCTAATGGAAAATTCTTCAAATGTCAGCATTACAGCACTATACGTGGTTGTATATGGGCTGGAAAATTAGGAGCGCCGCAAATGCACAATCACGCCGAGTAATCTTTCAAACACGCAGCGACGAGATGCTTGAGGCATGTGTAGTGTAATAGCGCCGGCTAGTGACCAGCAGCGGCAACTGCGGTGGACAAACAGTACACATGCCGGTGAGCATATACACGGGTGTGTCGGCAGGGCGGAGGAACTGGGGCAAGGGTCATGGAGGGCCCTATCTGGAAGCCTCTGGAACTTGCTAGTGAGTTCGAGAAGGGAGGCGCGGCCAGGGCGGAACCAGGCCGCGCTGGTAGCATAAAAGGGGCCGAGAGCGGTGGCTCGAGGCTGCTGGTTCTGGGATTGGATCGTCTCGTCATTGCTGTCATCTCGTTGCCATTGTCGCTGCCGCCTTCGCTCGATATTGCGCTGCTAGATAGCTGTTGGCCGTCTCCATCAGCGCTGTCGGTGTTGGATGGCGAGTGTTGTGTATAGGCTGACGACTGTCGAGTGTGCAGGCGAGATCGTGAGTGTTCCATAAAGGAGGCGCCTCTACAAACCTCGTCTCCAACTCACTGACACTACGCATGTACAGAGCATAGGACCAACAGCAGGGATAAGACCAAGGGGAAGGCGAGTCGCCTTTTGGCCTAGGTTCCATTATAGGGGGACAAGACAATACCCAATGCCAATATTCTTGTCATTAACAACTCCACCACCTGACAAGACCGACACGTTTACAAAGACATTATTTATTTACGTTCCAATTTCTTGAAAAAATTCTGATCAATAACACCACCACCACGCACTGAAATGTTTAGTCATGAAATTGTAGAAGGCACCAGCATGCTTTATTGGTCAGAATTTAATCAATACGTATTAACTACATATTTATAAACTTGACAATTCTCTCTGGCAGTGGAGGGGGGTGAGTGACAAGAATGTTGGCAAAACTACATGGTCTTGCCAAAAAAAACAAACATGGACCATAGCATTGGCTAAGCAAAAACCTATGTTTTAAGTTAACAAGAATGATTTTTGTTTTCAGTCAACGAGAACCGCATTGGTACATTGCCAACACCGGCTGCGGCTAACCCCTGAGCCACAGAGGGTAAGGGGTGAGAGAGGCGGTGAGGAATGAGGACCAGGAGAGGGAAAACAGTGGAAGGGGCTGGCTCCGAGTGGCCGTGGCAATGAGGCATAATGCACTCCAGGAAGCTCGTTAAGAGCCTGCTGCTGTCAGCCTGTCAGAAACGTTGCTCCTCACGCTACAAGGGTGCTACGCACAACAAATAACCAATCGAGAATCATGGAAAGTTGTTCCTATTGCCTTTTGCACATGCAGCATCCCGATATATGGGGTAATATTCACATCATGTTGATTAGCGCGGTTTGCTACATAGCGTGGAAGAAGTTCAACATATGTACATATTCATTAGATTTTTTACAATGATGTAGATGTCAAGATGGGAACGATACCCATGGCCATATTTAAACGTGTACACATTCACATTGTAAATGTGGCGACCGGTCATGTGCATGTCCAGGAACGGCGCATTAACTTACCACTCGGCTGAGTTCTTGTACATCGTGCTGCATGAAGCTGTCCAAAGTCTCCCAACTGTGGGCAACAAAGTGCATTAAAGGTAACTATATTACTTGGGTGGCACTTGGGAGGCAGGGTGGCGCAGCGGTAAAACTTGTGTGTCACAGCAAGAAGGGACACGAGTTCGATTCCCGACTCGGGCACCTTTCTGTGTGGAAACATGTATGTTCTCCCCCTGTTTGGCACGAATTTCCTCCAGGATCTCTCGGGTTTCCTCCCATTGCAACCCCCCCCCCCCCCCGCCACCCCATAACTCAACTGGTAATTGCCAAAACATCCCAATGCTGAAAAATTACCTGCAAATTACTCAATTAGCATTACACACAGCAGCATAACCTCCTCCTGCAAAAAAAAAACACTTGGCAGGACGCTCTTGGATTGCTCCTTTTATAATTCAGTTGTATTCCTATTCGTGTAGAGCCGCGACCTGGATTGCAAGGCCAGCGAGCCATTGGCGGCTCCTGGTGGCCTTTCGTGTGGCTTCTGACGTGCGGCCTCTGACAATACAAATATGAAAGCAACCCAATCATGCTGTCAAACCCAATGGTTTCAAATGTGTGGCTGCCTTCGTGCTGATCATGTCTTATCACCAAAAGTCGCCCCCTCTCTGAAAATGAGTGAAGAACACTGGTGAAACAATCATGTATTTATTCTCTGTTATTGCTCATTTACGGGTTTGTTTTTGTCCTATGTGTCTGTTATTCGGCAAGCCATTTTCCCTCATCTTCATGTCGTCTCGCTGCCTCCCACACCTGCCATGATCCTGGTTGCCATGGCAACCCCACTGCTCAGCTGCTCCTGCTGCTGTTGCCGCTCGCGGTCTTGCACCCTCAGGACCTGGCTGCTTGACGAGGCTTCCCAACGCTGCCCTCGCATTAATCATTTACTTTTCTGACCCTACTACAGGCCACAGCCTGCTGCCCACCCTTCACACTACTGGTGCATCTTCATAATGGCCAATGTTTATTATTATGATGTTTTTTTTTTACCCACCCAGGAAAGCCTCACCGAGTAGCAAGACTCTTTCAGGAGTACGCTGCCAAGTTTTTGCGGTGGGGTGTGATATTGCCATGCGTCATTCCAATTGGGTAAATTTGCATGTAAATTTTTAGCATTGAGATGTTCGGCCAATAATATTTAGCATTGCAAATTGATTTTAGCTCAGTTCAGTTCATTTTTCAGTTTATTTATTTTGGTATAGCCCTGCGAGCCATTTGGTTCTTGAATCGGGTGCAACCACAACAAAAAAAACGAACAAGAAAACATCTTAAAGTGACTATGTGACTGTGCAAACAGAAAATCAGCTACCAGAGAACACCAGAGAACCCTGAGGAAGTCGAAGCAGAATGGAAGACACTTAAAAATACTTCATACCGAGGCACGTCGAGTCCGGATTCGAACCCAGGCCCTTCTTGCTGTGAGGCACAAGTGTTACCATTGTGCCACACTGCCAATGTTTGTTGTCATTAGCAAATTCCTGCTGCCTTTTGCTGCCAAAACTCTACTTCCTGAGGCTGCCTGCGGCCATCAACTATCTTGGGTAGCCTGCTGCCAACCTAGACTCCCCTACAGTGCCTGATGCCATCCTAGACTCCCCTAAAGTACCTGATGCCATCCTAGACTCCCCTACAGTGTCTGATGCCATCCTAGACTCCCCTACAGTGTCTGATGCCATCCTAGACTCCCCTACAGTACCTGCTGCCATCCTAGACTCCCCTAAAGTACCTGATGCCATCCTAGACTCCCCTACAGTGTCTGATGCCATCCTAGACTCCCCTACAGTGTCTGATGCCATCCTAGACTCCCCTACAGTGCCTGATGCCATCCTAGGCTCCCCTACAGTGCCTGATGCCATCCTAGACTCCCCCTACAGTGCCTGATGCCATCCTAGACTCCTCTACGGTGCCTGATGCCATCCTAGACTCCCCTACAGTGTCTGATGCCATCCTAGACTCCCCTACAGTGCCTGATGCCATCCTAGACTCCATTACAGTACCTGATGCCATCCTAGACTCTCCTACAGTACCTGATGCCATCCTAGACTCCCCTACAGTGTCTGATGCCATCCTAGACTCCCCTACAGTACCTGATGCCATCCTAGACTCCTCTACAGTGTCTGCTGCTATTCTAGACTCCCTACAGTGCCTGATGCCATCCTAGACTCCCCTACAGTGTCTGATGCCATCCTAGACTCCCCTGCAGTGCCTGATGCCATCCTAGACTCCCCTACAGTGTCTGATGCCATCCTAGACTCCCCTACAGTGCCTGATGCTATCCTAGACTCCTCTACAGTGTCTGCTGCTATTCTAGACTCCCCTAAAGTGTCTGATGCCATCCTAGACTCCCCTACAGTGTCTGCTGCAATCAGCAATCCTGAGTAACCTACTCCCATGCTACACTCCCACAGTGCCTGCTGCTACCAGCTATCCTGAGTAACCTACTCCCATGCTACACTCCCACAGTGCCTGCTGCTACCAGCTATCCTGAGTAACCTACTCCCATGCTACACTCTTACAGGGCGGTAATGTCGTGCAAGCGTATGCGGTGCGCTTCACACCGCTGCTCTACATATCTCATCCAGAAACACTCTCGCCCTGCTGGCCGTACAACACGAACAGCTATTCCGACGCACGCAAAGCCCTTCAAATAACACCGCAATGCCCGGACTGGATGCAGCCAGTGCAGTCTCTCTCCTCCTTTGCCAACAGACAAGAATGCTGGTAAAAAACATGGAAGACCATCTCTATGGCCATATGGAAAGGGGATAACACCTAAGGGGAGAAAGTTAGGAGAGGTCCACGGGACCGTTTTTTTTGTTACCACCATCACGGGTGGGTGAGCACCAAGGGAGTGAACCGCACATACCCGACATGCCGTTGTAAAGCTAACCAGAAACACCATCTTCAGGAAAGGAACTCCCCCCCCCCCGAAAACACAACGCAAGTGGTTGAAAGGGTGGGTCGCACGGCGCATTCAGCACAAGTGCGCGCGGTGCCACTTGCCCAAAAGATTTGGTTAGCTTCTTTGTTCCCACGGGCTTGTCGCTGTGCTGCAGCTCGTAGAAGACCCTCTGTAGCGCCAGCGGGACACTCTTGGAGGAATCGTCACCCTCGGTCGGCATCTGATAGACCGCCTGCAGAAACAGTAACCGCCGGTTAAAGGTATTTGGAGAAAAGCTGTCCATCCTTAGCGCACTAGTTTCAACTTGCAGTAATCACCACAGCTGAATGCATTACTATATTTGGCAAGACAAGGCAGCAACGATGGCAATGCTTCATCTCCCTTTTTTTATATTACAACAAAACAGAGCATTCCTGCACCTGTACCAAATTTTTTTTCTGGCACATCTTATGCTTGACAATTTTCCAAACTGGTCCTGGGCCTACCCTAGGTCGACTCAACCGCAAATGAGTACCTGGTAAGGTGTATAAACATCGCCACTAGGGAGACAAAGGTGGCCGGGTGTGGTGCTGGCCAAGCACCGTGTGCAGTGCTGGCCATCATAGGTGCTCGCTAACAGTACTTGCCCCTGCAGTCTATTAAGGCTACATGGAGAATCTAAAAGAAAAAATAGCCTACTTGCACCTTTACCAAATTTTTCAGGTGCCTCTTGCATTATATTTTAAGTTTTTTATTTGCATGTTTTATTTACGACCATGAAATACTTTGTTAATCGAGCAATATTCCTCAAGGATCCTGCACTCATTCTCTGAAATAATAATCATGTTTTTGTCTTTTGTTAAAACTGTGTTCAAGCACCACAGGTCTCCCTTGTAAAATATCTGGGCAACTGGCTAAACAGGACCACTGGTTCTAACACACCAAATAAACTCAAAGCCATTATTTTGACAAGAACAACAATAATGAAGCTTTAATGGGACAACATTTTTCAACATCGGTGTAAAAGACAAGGGGCATTCCCGCTCACCCAAAAGTGAGACGAGGCTCATCGTCCACTCACAGCCTTGAGGCAGTCGAAACAAAGTACGCAGCCCTTAGACTGGAGCGAGTCGACCTCTGGGGTCAGCAACCTGCAGCTCCGGAGGCGCATTTGGTTCCTTAAGGACTGCAGCGCGGGCTCTTGAAATTCGAAATAAATGGCTCTTTTTGTTATTTTGGTTGCAGACACAGACCATGAGAGATCCAGTTCACCATGGGTAGGGTTCGGCAACCTGCGGCTCTTTAAGGAACTGCTTCGTGACGTTATTTATTGAGGACCACCGTCTCTCGTATTCACACGCATTGCGGCTCTTGAAATATTGTTTACCGAATTTGAAAAAAATGGCTCTTATTGTTGTTTTGGGTGCCGAAAACTGGTCTACCTACCAGGAAACCAGTGTTGATTACTCAAAAACGTGGTGCTCAATTGATCAACTCTGCAGGGATGAACAACTGAAATGACCACCAGTTGGGATTGGAATTTTCTGATTCAAGTCATGCGCCCCAACCACTGTGCCTCTCACCTAGAACCGATTCAGTAAAAAAAACGCCTGTTTCTGGGATTAAAATTGTATAGCACTCGATTATAAAGAAAATAAGTGAACCTGACAAGTTCTCACGCTTGTTTTCAACCAAAAACATAGAAGTGATAGCATAGCGATATTTAAGGAATGTGTTGAAAATTATAATTAATTACAATTTATTTCACTTCCATACTTTTTCATTGTGTTCGTTTTAAACTTCCAACTTTAAATGTTGCTCAATGTTCATTTAATGCAAAATCTATTAAATAAAATTACTACAATGTGCAGCTACTAATTCTGAGATTCGTTTAGAGCATTATTAGGCATTTAATGACTTACAGTCACAAGAGTTTTTACTGCCAAGTTAACAGCATTTCTCAACTTGTACAAAAGCATACGTCTGCGGGTCTTCTCGGGGATCAATGGCATTGTGTGTGGGGGTCACCGTGTGGTCTGTGCCCCACTCCTCCCCGTTTAACCCTGCCTGCTATCTTTCCACGTTTTTCTTGGTGTGCGTCTTTCTGCATTAAATCATCTTTATGCGTATAGCCGAGCATTTTAAATGTTTGTTTATATGTATATAATCACTTTCTTGTATTAACTTACATGTATTTGTCAAACACACCGGGTTTTCATTATAATCGCAATTTAATAACCAAAATGCCCATACATTTATCCATAAACGCTGAGCAATTGATTTTCCAAAACACATTTTCTTAACAACTCACTTCGGTATAGTCACTAGGACTTATGAACGGACTTCAGAGTACATCCCTGAATATGACCATCATAATTGGGCAGAATGAAATAATTGCTTCTTCTCAAAACTCTTTCACCATGTTCTTTAATGCATGAATTACAAAGGAATGTCATTTTATCCTCTGAAACAAGTTTTTGTTGTTGTTGCAAGAACCTTTTATGCAGCCAATTGATTATCCATCTAACTATTAATTAAAGCAATTACAATGAATCTATCAAGCAGTCAATGTCTGTGTCTGTCAATGCCTCACCATGTCTGCATACAATGAATCTATCAAGCAGTCAATGTCTGTGTCTGTCAATGCCTCACCATGTCTGCATACCTGTCTCTACAACTAGCTTCATCTGGCTGTCGCCTGATGAAGCTGGTTCTAATTACTGGCGAAATGTCACTCGGATTGTCAATGTTGTGGCTTTGCTCTCCAACACACCGGTTAGCTGTAATAGTAATGAATTCGCATGTTCGGTTTACGTGACAAACCTTACTAATTGGCTGTGTCGGGTGGTGGAGGGTTTAACGACATATTTACACGATCTCACCCAAAAAAACCTGTATTATGGATATTGTCACGAAAGCCTACGTGTTAAACAGACCCGTGTCTCTTATGTTAGTTCCACGTCCCCGAGGCCACACGTCAGTCTCCGCCAGTGTCCCCCCTACCGTGACCTGACTTCAGGGCTGTGTCCATGTCTTATTCACTGTTTGTTTATCTCAGTCTTATGATATTTGCATACTGTCTGTTCTCCTAAGACACGTGTTTTTAAAACGCAAACTGGATATAACGCGATTAACGTATTAGGGTACACATTTTTTATAACGTGGATGTGAATTGGATACAACGCGATTCAGTGAACGGAACTATGTCACGCGAGTCGGAATAAGTGGTTGTATCTGAGCCTCGGCATAGCATCGCACAAGCCAGGATGCAGCTGGATTCTTTAACATGCTACCCACGGGCCTCGATCTTTGTTCAGCCTGCATACGCATCTCACATGTTACCGTGGACTGTGCATTACCCTATATTATAACGTAATTTTTACATAACGCAGTGTTCTTCAGGAACGCAACTACCGCGTTATAGGAAAACAAAATATACATATCTCCCAGTGTCTCTGAATCTCAAATTTGAAAACGTCCTCACTGCGTGTATCTCTCAATCTCCTCCCGCATTGCTCTAACTAAATATAAACTTTGCATCTCATTACAAGAGGCTCTCGATCCCCCACTGCAGCCCTCTTGACACCCCCTTAACATTTTAACTGACAATTGTTGTGAAGTGTAGATGTGCACGTTTCGTGCACTCTAAAACTGTGCATTTACTACTGGTGTGAAAAAGCCGCCTGAATTGAAGCACCACAGTTCCTGTCATGGAATTAATTTATAGGGCAAAATATAGCATGCAAAAACTGTTTTGTCATTACAAAAATAACGCATCACTCAGTTAAAGCTATCCCCACAGGAGTGAATGTTTCTAGTCTTAGGAGGTTTTTGCTGACATTCAATTTCAGATAGGGTCACGTCTGACGTTCATCAGACATCAGTTGTGTTCCAACGTGAAATCTGCTCCAGATTTTAACGCGAGACCAGCATTCAGAGCCACACCATTGGCATGTACTGCCCATTTTGGTACCGAGCAAAGCAATTCAACCGTGGACATCTGGGCCATAGATCATAGGATTTGGTTACATTAGATGGTCATTATTAAGTTAACCATGGTGTGTGCATGCAGATGATTATTTTTACAAGTGGCTCCGTCACTTAAATTAGCTTCAACATTTGAATCTATATTGGTCTATACCCACTCATGAGCTATCCCTGTTTTGGAGCAAAATATCACACGCAATTTTCACGACATATTCACATGTTTCAACCTCACCAATCTTTTCAATCATGCTGGTTTTAATTGAGCACTTGGACTATTATTAAGAAATTAAGCATTGGAGTGAATTACACATGCAAATTTCAGCTCCTTCAAACGAGACTCAATTGTGACATTCACACTTTCGGACTCAACATCAATAATAAAAAATTTTCAGCTTCTAGAACTAATTTACAACAAGAAAACAGATTTGTAGCTAAATTAATCCGTTTTTGCATTTGCCGAAGAATCCTCATTTCTGAGACACAAACATGAAAAAGTTCGTTTTTAAAAATAACCCATGTATTTCCGAGTGCCTTGCAGATCGCTTTAGTTACTGCAGTGCATCGAACAGCCACTGAATACGCATCACTTCGCAGGCAAAACAATGCAAGTGTTTGTGGCTAGAGTACCTTGCGCAGCTGGTTTGTGAAGTAGAGAGTTTGCAACAGGCTGTTCATATAACACGTAGCGCCTTGGTTCTTCAGCCCAACGTAGCCAGTGTACTTCTTGGAGTCCCACCTGCAAACGCAACACGAGGCAATTTACCCAGCTGTCAGGAAAGATGGCGTCTGTGCCCCGAGGCACCGAGTCAGATGGGTCATGCTGCTACTCTGTACGTTCGCAACCGCAGGTGGCAAATGACGCAAATCGAATGGTACCAATTCCACGAGCAGGTTATAATCAATCGGTCCATAGCTACAACTGGATGCTGTCCAAACCGTGCTGTGCCCAAGCTCAGCTAGGCGATCAGAAACTGCGTAGCCTTGTCCCCCTCTCTCGTTCAGTGTCTCTGCACTTTGCACTGCACATATCCGTATACTCCCTGTACACACGTTCCCCCCCCCCACCCCCTGCATGGTTTGTGATAGCTGCACGGTTACCACAGCTGTAGCTCGATTCGTCTTATGGCTAATTATGTCCATTACAGGCCCCATCATTCTTTCCATCTGCAGAACAAGTGTTATGGCAAACATGGTACAGTCATTTTATTGACTCCCTTGACCTCTTTGCCCGTGTCAATTCCCCTTGAACTACCATTTATGTGGAGTTAATCCAATAACTAAAGTGTGCAAAACGTTTGTTTTGACTGCCACCTCCAAAACTGGAGTAACTATTAACTCCTGCTTGGGGTTTGACTTTTACAAAATCTATTGTTTATTTTATCAGCTAAGGCCCACTGAGCTATTTATAGCTCTTTTTTCAGAAGCGACCTGGCCACAAATGATAGCTCAACTAAGTGGCTTATTACGTGGAAATTTCATAGCAGCCCAAATACTCTAAACGCACGTTCAATCTAAATGTAGAGGGAAAAACCATATGATCAGGAGAAAAATCCACGTGACCACGGGGAGAACATGCAAACTCCAAATATACAGGCGTCAGTGTCGGGAATGAACCCACGACCTCCTGTATACCTGGCGAGGTAGTTAACATCTCGCCACCGTAGCACCCTCTCGCCAGGACTGCCTTGTGTTCCTGGACTAGCACATAATGCGGACATCTGTCTTCACACAACTGTCCTAACAAGTTCCAACATTAAGGTTCCCATAGTTATTTTTGCACAAGAGATGTCAGGAAACCCTACAATCACTGTACTTCTATCTGCCTGTCTGACTGAATAAAGGATCTTTCTCATTGGTATTAAAGGTTTTCTTTTTGCGTCTAACAGTAAAGTATTTTAAAATTACATTGAGTATCATTGCCTGAAAATTAATACTAAAATGTCACCTCCTATAAAAAACATGTGAAGGCACTGTTGAGTCCTCATGGCAACCAGCCCAATTCAATGACTGGCTATTTTTCACTGACAACTGAAATAAGTGAGTTATTATGGATGAAATAACTAAGTTATTTACGTTAAACTCCACATTCAATATAACTCACATTTATATATATGCCCATTGCTGAAAAAGAATAGAATTAAATAAACTACATCTTTCTGCTAAAATAATACATTTTATGCAAGTGTCAATCCACACAAGTGTAAATAATTCCCAATGTTTACCAAGTGTAAATAATTCCAAATATGTTTCCATGTAGCATCTAAACAAAGTGCATCTTTCTTCGGTGAGGTCATGATACTTAAGTCGCTGGGTCAAGTGCCATGGCGATTCTGCCTTCCTGGATCTTGTTCCGATGTGGCTTAATTCAAACAAAATGTTAAATCTAATTGTTAAATTTGATGGCGAACATTGCTCTTCAATTAAGCAGTGAGCTGGAACAATATTAAATGGCACGGCAAATTATATTATTATTGTGCATGTGGCAATTTGCTTTGCTGTGCCGGGTGGAAGTTCTTAACGACAGATTTGTTCAGATCATTCCTATGTGACCGAATAAAAAAATACATTATGAATCATATTGGCTGTAAAAACCACCTTGTGAAATTAATGGCAAGACAAGGTCATGGGTGCTATTCTAAACACCGAGCCAAATTGGGAGTTATAATCACATGTTAACTGCCTTTTCATACGGAGCCACACAGAGTGGCCAGATTGGTAGAGCGATAATGACCATTAAATGGTTGTTACATTTTTTCATGCACATCTCTGTTCAATTGTATATTTTGTACCTAAAAGTACATGCATGCCTGAGACAAAATAAACACGTGATTTTTCCTTTGTTGAACACAGCAAAGCTTTAAAAATATTAATCCGTACGAGTGCCGCTTTGAAATCGAACGCAGGAATAACAACGGCATCCGAAGACGCACGTTGGCTGGTAACGAAAACAATGGAACACAATGAACCATATATACGTGTAGCTGTGGGGGGGGGGGGGGGGAGCACCGGGACGAGACCCCCGATGTCTGTACACACAAAGAGCTCCGTTTACAGCTGAGTACGGCCGCAGCAAGGTGCTAAATTGTACTATTTTTATTTTACCAGGTAAGGTTCACCGAGCTATATAGCTCTTTTTCAGAAGTGACCTCGCTACAAATGATAACCGAAGTGGCTTATCGTGTGGAAATGTATAGCAGGCAAATACTCTAAACGCACAACGACCCGGAGGAAAATCCACACGACCACGCGGAGACACACACGCAAACTCGAAATATACAGGCGTCAGGGTCGGGATCGAACCCACAACCTTCTGTATACAAGGCAAGGAATTTAACATCTCGCCACCGTGGCGCCCCAGCAAGTCCTGCAGCAGCAAGTCCCGCTGCTGCAGGACTTGCGGTTTTGGTCGGCTCAAAGTCAACGGCACGGCCGCTTGGCGCCCAGCAGCGACAGCCTCCCTGCTGAACAAGCAAAGACAGTTTCGCTCCTCAATCAAAACTCCATGACTTACGCCACTCCGTGGGGGGCATCCGCTTGAACAGCTACCTCGAAGGTGACTTTGTCGTCTTCGATAAATCCCTTTTCTGGATCTACAATATCCTTTCAACATAAACAAACAAAAAAACACATGTAAATAAATTTAAACGGCGAGGCTGGACGGTGCCACCACAAGTGTTTGGATATTCTTGACAAGCAAAAATTAGAACAGTTGGCGGTAAACAATTTTTTTTTAAATGACATCGCGCACACACCCCCTTAGGAGTACCTACAATAAATCACACCCACCCATGAGTTACTATATTAAAAACAATATTTATCTAGTTTTAAAGCATTGTGTATGAACCAAATGTCGTTGTCATCGCAAAACGATTTTTATACAGCACAAAACACTTGGCTGCCATAAAACCAGCAAGTATCATGTCGAGCACCACATTTACCCGGGTAGAGTAGGTGTAAATCATGGTAAAACTTGCCGTCAAAGAACTGACAATACAATCCGATGCTGTGCCTTAGCAAAAAGCCCTGAGAATCAGTGAGACTTAGCCGAACAGGAACAGGACATTCTACAGGCGTCTCTCTAAACGAGCGTACTTTCTTCGAGAATTCGCTAGCACAAGCAACTTAAATTTAGACCCATTTTATTTGCAAAGAGAGCAAATGAACGATCTAAACATGCATCCCGTGGCGGCAGGGGGGAGGGGCCCGTAGCTGTTTGTTTAGCAGCTCTCCTGTGCTGTGCCGTATGTCACAGCTCATCTCCACCCTTAAAAACTTAATGTAAACTTTAATGTGTGTTCCTTATTGTGTCCTGCTAAGCACTGCCGGTACACTCTCTGCACACATAGGTGCGTGTTATATTCCAGAAAATTTTGCGTTTGAGTGATTTACGATAGAATTTTGACACTGAATGTGTTTTCAGGGAGTAAAATGGAACATTACCTTGAAGAGTAATTTCAAGTGTACTATCTTCAATGCAAACCTATGTAGTATGCTTGAACTACAACCTTTGTTTTTAACTGCAATGTTACTTGAATTATTGGACAAAAACTTGAGTCTACAAAACAGAATTTATTGCTATCAATTTTATTTAAGAGGCCTTAATCTTTTTCAAAAAGTTTTTACTTATCACACAAACGAACCTACATCATGTAGTTCCGTGGTACACAACACCAACCAAATGCCCTCCCATGGCCTTGCGAATCACGTGTTCATGCCACGCATGCATGATATTATTGTCATGCCAACTCAACCAGACCATGCCCTTATGTTGTAGTGGCTATGCATGCCCGTCATCCAGCACTGTGGAGGTAAGGGTTGGCGGATCACAAAAATATTGCCAAACTCCTCTCCAATGGGCGTTAAGCTGCTATACTCGGCTTTGTCAGGAGAATATAGTACAGCAAAAAGGTGGACTCCACCTGTTCCTTCTGTTTGGCATCGTGTTTCCCCCTTGCACATGTGTTTTTTCTCCGGGCGCTCCAGCTTCCTCCCAAATGGAAACACTTCTCAATTGGTTAACACCTTAACAAATAGAGGACGACAGAGCTTGGCCAATGCTTTGTGCCGGTTCACCGCCTTCCCGCTGTCCGTGGTTCCCTGTGCCTCCACGATGTTCTCTATCGCTAAGAGCGAGTGAATACTGTGCATCTTACAATTTGAAATTATGTTGAGACATAGCTGGGGAAGAGCTCATCCACGTTGAGAAATGGTGTGAAAGAACTCGAGTGGGTGCAGACGAGTGTTGAGTCTGCAAAGATTCCTCAATTCCGGCATAAAAGTCAAGGGAAGCATGGTGTCTGCAAAATCCAGAGATGCAACTTCATCGATACAAATAGTACATTTTCAAATCTGTCCTTGAGGCTCACTGCTCTAAAAGGGTATCCTTGAGTTGCCCTGGATGTTCCAAGTCTTACTCAATTATTGTATGAAATAGGCAAGCCTCTTCTATTATTGCTATCTACCTGACCAGCATGGACATGTGATGTAGGAGTGGTTGACCAAGCACCATTTGATCTTATAGAGTTCGAGTAAGATAATACCATCCTTTTGCTGATGCAGTCACCTTGGACAATTTATTCTTGCAGATGATGGTACCCCCAGGACAATATGCTGGTATTTTAGACAGTAATATTTTAAACATTATAGCTCTCACCATAAGGTCTTCTTTGTCCAAGAGCATGTTGTTGGCCCGAGCCAAGTAACACTTGGAACACATTATTTGATGTTCAACATCATTGGTTCAGGAGATCTTTTTTTAGATTGCTCTTGTGCAGTCATTTTGGATATTCATGCCAGCAGCCACAGCAGGGGGGGGAAGCATGTTTTTGGCTGGTATTGTTGTTTTTAATTTCAGGTCAGTGACTGAGCTGGTCTGGAGTGCCCTTCAGAACATGCACTGCCAGTTGATTGTCTGTCTCAAGATGCAGCACCACTGCTGAATACTGCACTTGGGCATGTTGAGAACGCAGCAATGGTTGTGTAAACATCAGAGCAACAGATCTTAATGAAGAGATCGCTACCAGCGGATATGGTTGCTCGAATAAAGGCAACAAACTTTCTCTAAGGGCTTCAAAACAGGATGACCAACACTTCTAAGAATACTTTTTGCCAACTGCCTATGAACGGGTAAGACTTAAAAACTGGTTGTTGTTTTGGGTGCTGAGCCACAGACTCAACTTTTGGCGTACTTCCGTAGGGATATGCAGATATGTGGAAGGTCGTTAAATCGGGTTTGTTTTGATCTAGCAGCCTTGGCACTTCTAACCCTCAAAATAGATGTGTTTTTTTTAAACTGTATCCTGAGCTGATTGAACCGTGTATAGTACTAGAGAATGGAAAGCCTAGTTAAAATTGAAATACATAAAATCTAGATTTGAAGCTTTCGTGACTGCAAGGATTCACTCTTTGTTTTTTTCGGTAAAGTCACGTAAGTAAAATAAAAAACAATTAAATCACGACGTTTCGGCGGCAACACAAGCTTCCGTCTTCAGGTGGAACAGTCACAGCAAGATCGCTGCATCAAGGTGATTATGTTGAGACAGCTGGGGTAGAGCTCATCCACGTTGAGAAATGGGGTGAAAGAACTCGAGTGGGTGCAGACGAGTGTTGAGTCTGCAGATTCCTCAAATCCGGCGTAAAAGTCAAAGGAAGCATGGTGTCTGCCAAATCCATAGAGATGCAACTTCATCGATACGAATAGTGAATTTTTGAATCTGTCCTTGAGGCTCACTGCTCTAAAGGGTATCCTTGAGTTGCCCTGAATGTTCCAAGTCTTACTCAATTATTGTATGAAATAGACAGCGATCTTGCTGTGACTGTTCCACCTGAAGACGGAAGCTTGTGTTGCCTCCGAAACGTTGTGATTTATTTGTTTTCTTTTATTTTTATTTTACCTACGTGCCTTTATTGAAATACTTACTTTTAACTTTATTTTAATAGTATATTAGGGTGTGCAACCGTCTTTTGTGTCTCAGACAAGACAGGCTTGTTCAAGATGTTCTGTGACATTGATGACACCTTGAAAAAACATTTCTCCCATTTTCTGTGACTGAAGAAACTGCAGCCCTCTGTTAAAAGCTTCCATTAGGACCCTGGCCACCTGAGCCACTTCCCATGACACCGGGTCCAGCCCCCCAATTGTCCTTGAAGAGCCACTGCTCTGGCAACACACCAGACAAAAAAGGCTTGCATTTGTACTCTAAAATTATGACCTCATTGAAAAAACCCCAATGGGGATTCCTGCCAGCAGACATGGGAAGCTTAGCCACCAAGGCAGGTTCCACACTGGTTGGCAGGGACACCCTCACAAACCGATTTATGTCGGCTACACAGGGGTCCCAGCCGTAGACATAACTGCAGGGCACGCATGCGAAAGTTTGGCCCATGGGACCATGTCCTCTGTAGGCACCACGTGGCCTAGGACAATCACGAATCATCTTGCACTTCCTCTTCGCCCTTCAGCAATGTGTCCGCCTCCATCAAGGTCCCCAACTACCTCCTCAATCGGGAAAAACCGACCTGAGTGTCCTTGTTTGCCGGAGACTGCATTTGGTTCCATTTAAGACAAACCAGTGGTTTTGCAACATCAAGACCATCTCATGTACCGACCTTGCGAAGGACCTTTTGACTGCTCTTATCAACACGTTATCCAGATGAGGGTAAACGTGATTTCTGATCTTGGTGATCGACGCCAGAGATTCCATCTTAAATCAATGATATTGGGTATGTCTGTTCAGCCTAGTCAGATGCAGGATGGCTCTAAGCCCTCGATGCTTTGGGTACAATAAAGTATATAGGGTAAATGCAAGAACCCCACTGACCCCTTGGGATCTCCTTTATCATCCCTATTTCGAGAGACTCCCCTCCTGGCCGGATCTTTGCAAGGTCACCGCGGAACCTCTCCTTCTGTTCTCTGATAGCGCCTCAACTGGCCTCGGCACAGCCCCCCGGATTGCACGGTTGTGCATCACCTCTTGGGGGCTGGCGCTGATCAAGACCTGACTTGCCCTCGCCGTCCTGCCACGTGTGGAAACAAGATTCCCACCAATGTCGCCGCCTGCCAAGCCACACGGCCCCCCAGTTGGTGCACCGCGGGGCTGCTCCCCACGCTGGAGCGGTCGGGTTTTCTGACCTCCTGGCCATGATGGTGGGCCTCCAGCTGAAGCTTGATCAAGTCAGATAGAGGGAGTGCCATGCCAGGGCATGCATGCACTTCATTTGAAGAACTCCACATTGACAGAGTCAGGTTTGATAAGTCAAGCATTAGTGCAGGACTTAATGACAAAACATTTAAGAGACAGTCCAAGTTGTGGCTATACAGCTCAAATTGGAGTAATTGCCACCCTTGGTGAGGTACGGCTTGGAACTGGTATCGCGTGGGTCATGGCACGTAATCAGGTTCTTGGAGGCGGCATTTAATAAGGAGCTGTCCCCGTTAGCAGACCCTAAGGTGCGATGCATCTCACTGGGACTAAAGCAGGAAGTTATTTTTCCCAAATTACATTCCTTAAATAATTATCAAATAGAGCAAGTCAAGACCTATAAGTATCTTGGGGTCATCCTGGATTCAAAACTGAATTTTGAAGATCACATTGATTATATTGGTAAAAGGACAAAAATAAAAATTGGTTTTCTGTATCGACACAAGCACTGCTTCCCCCCTATGTTCCATTTCAGAATTGATAAAAACTACCATACTGCCGCTACTTGATTACTGTGATATCGTTTATAAATCTGCCCCAAGTACTGTACTGAAGAATCTTGATTCCATCTATCACTCAGCCTTAAGATTTGCATTGAACTGCCCATATAGGACTCACCACTGTGATCTCTACATTGGGTCAAACTTAACATCTCTTAATGTTCGACGGCTTGTACACCAGATCTTATTTATTCATGATGTACTTACAAAAAAATCCGCAGACTACCTGCTGCATCTCCTCTGTTTCAAAGAACAGATTTGACCTCAGGTCTTCGCTCATCTACCAGCTTCACATTCCCTATTGCCGTACAAAAACCAAAGGAAGGGCCTTTGCTATTGATGCCCCCAGGGTCTGGAATGCTATTGCCAATAAACTGCAACTTGAATCACTACCTATGAGATCTTAACTTAAAACTGCTCTAGAGGAGTTGTACACTCCTAGCTGCCACTGCTATTCAGTGGCCTAAAATAAAATGTTTCGCTCTGGATGACCGCTGCAAAGTATTATCTGTATTTTTATTTAGTGTGCTGATCTTAAAGGTGCATTGAAAAATGTGATACTCCGACTGATGTTCCTGTTAAATTTTGATTTAAAGCTTTCGTGACGGCAGAAATTCATATTCTTAGCTCTTTCGGTAAAGTCACGTTGAAGGGAAACAATATATATAAAACAATACAAATTCTCATCATCAGGTTTTCACACCTGATGATGACCGTTTCTGTTTTGGGCGAAACGTCGTGACAATTTGTATTGTTTATATATATTTTATTATTTTATTGTTTCCTTTCAACGTGACTTTACCGAAAGAGCTAAGAATATGATGCTCCTGTTGTTTGTGGAGTGACTCATGCAGCCAGCTGTGGCTCTAGGGTTTGGTGTTACATGTTATTTATGTAGTTAATTGTTAATAATACAGTCACAGTTCCTATGATCACTGTTACATTGCATTTATGGCTTTATTTTGGTGATTTCTAAAAGTTTTTTGGTTTGGCCATGTTTTTTGTTTATTGTAGTACGGAGTTAGACTGATGGCCTTAATCTAAGTTTTCTTGTTTGACTTGCATCCCACTGGGAATTTTGCACACAGCGTTGGTGTACGGTGCTATTTCAGGAATATTTTGATGTTTTTTTCCTGGATTTTCTGTTTGCACATGCACGTAGTCACTTTAAGATGTTTTCTTGTTCATGTTTTTGTTTTTTTGTTTGTTGCGGTTGCACCCAATTCAAGAGCCGAATGGCTCACAGGGCTATACCAAATAAATGAAACTAAACTAAAACTAATCTTGCCCTGCCATGATGAATTCAAGGAGTTTCCATTGCGTTTAGATAATATGCTCTTGAGACTGTTTAGAGGGACGAAAGAGGAGAGGGCCCCTTGGTGCAGATGGGTATGGCCCCCTGAATATTGCACCTGTCTCATTGCCCTGTGAAGCCACCACCGTTCCAGCAGTGTGGAGCGCACCACACACTTTTTAACACGAGACACTATTAGCCAAAATACTTTGGTTTCCCAAGACGGGTTGGGGGGGGGTAAGATTTGGGAGAGCTGTTCTTTCAGCAGTTGTTCCCCAATAGAGATTCCCCATTGACAGAGGGCTGTCAATGGCCATTGTTCCCACCTATTACAAGTTCACAACTCGACTGATCCGGAGCGTTTAAGTAGGGCTTTTGGTATACCTAAGTTAAACCCGGTTTTGAATAGATGGCCACGGACACGCTCTGTGTCCCTCAAAAAGGTCTCACCCATGTATACATGAAAAGAAAAAAGAATGTGTTTATTTAGTTAAAATGCACAAATGCGTGTTTGGAGGTTGTTGGTTGTAACGAGTTAAACATGTTGAAACTGGACTACTTATTGCTCGCAGATGTATGATTTGTGGTGTTGCCCTCCGCTGATTGGCTGGAAGAGTTATGTCACCGAGCTCGGAGGGTCATGTTGTACGAACGGGGGCTTACCCCCTCCCCTCAAGGTGGGATGGGTACAGTCCCTGCCTGGCTATTGCATCCAATTAATAATTAATGTACACCATTTCTGAGTGTCCAGCACAGCACGGATTTGCTCCGAGTTGTAGTGTGTCAGTGACAACCTATGAAAACCCGGGATAACGAAAGGACTGAAACTCTGTATTTATAGGCAACTACTCTAAGTCTCAGACATATGCACAGGAAATGTGGAAATGAGCACATTCATACAATGAGATGTGAAAAAAGTCCCAACATAGCATCAAAACTAACACACACACACCCGCTCTCAGCCTTACATGGCTAAACAGAGTTGTCTTTAGATGATATACACATCCAAATCATGGTGCACCTTATATATAAAGGACATTATAAATATTATTGCAGACATTCATAAAGACAATCTCACAAATAAACAGAAAAATCACGGGTCTACATTTGAAAAAAAAAAGCTTACAAGATAAAATAGTAAACCAATTTCACCTAAATCCCAATACTAAATTAAATATAGGCTAAGCCAATGTGGAATAGTGTGCCTCTTGAAAATAAGTGAAATGGAGTTGTGCGATATTGTTTGCAACGTGGGATTCATAACTACTTCTACCGCAGCTTTTGCCATAGAAGCAGTTGCTCGTTTTATTGCACTTACAATCAATGGCCACGCACACTCAATTACTGGTGATTAAGTGTCTCGGGTAACTTTGCAGTTAGAGCAAAACAGTACAAGTCATCTAATTCCAATGGATTACAGTCAGATGTGGTCCACGTTCACTGCTGAACACAGGCCGAGAAGTTTAGTGATTTACAGCTGTACTTTCCATTTCTCAAGTGGGAATTTGCATTAAAAACCACGAGCTTTTAATAAGAAAAAAAATCACACATGACCAAAGATGAATAAAAAAGATACATGTCCATCAGTAATAAGGGTTTGGAATTTTTAAACATGGCTTCACGTAGAGTTAATATCAATTTGGACTTTAAATTCAGCTTCTCTGGATTTTTCAGACACGTAATTTGGTTCGACACTAATGGTTTCAGATGGTGCAGATTAAATAACTGTTGTACAATTCGTAAGGTTTAAATTTTCCATTAAGAATGAACGTTATATTACAATGAGCATGTGTGTGATGGGCTTAAAAGTGAACTGTGAGGCCATGGGTGGTGCAGGGGGGTTTACCAGGTGTGGCGAGTACTCACATTAAAAGGGATAAAGCTTGAGTAACCCCAGTCATTCTCTTTGTGGAAAAAGAGGTGGCTGATTTTACGGGTAAAAGACTTCTCTTCATCTTTCACGTTGATCACCTTCAACACTGCTTGGGCATTACAAGACCATGACCTAAAAAAAAAACCACGACACTCATGTCATCATTGCAAGAAACAAAACAGGAAAAATGTAAACATTGAATCATGTACCATACAGTATGCGCACTCTATTTTGAAGTGTCGTGTTATGTATTATAAACTTCTTTCGCACTGTACGTAGCCAATCATTCTAATTGGAGTTGCAGAGGAAGGAATAAGCTAAACACAAAAAATCAGTTTTAAAGGAATGAGTTTTCAATCTAGATTTAAAAGTGCACAGCTCCAGTGGCTTCCTAATATCGGAAGGAAGAGCGCGTTCCAGAGGGTCGCAGAAGCACATCCGAAAACGTGTGATGCAGAAATATCTGATGGTTATAACCAATCAACAAAAGCGCACACGGGATTTAACACGTAACAATAAAATAGCAACAGTACCAATAAACCGTGGCGTGCGTCCCCCAATTGGCTGCATATGAAGTTCCTGGCAAATCCTGGACCACTGGAGGTGTGGTCAAATTAAGGTGTTCAGAGCAGGTGGAAGAAAGGACACTTGCTTTAGTAAAGTAATAAATGCAATGTTTCTGGTTGGGGAGCTGCTTGCGAGATGTTATCTGCCTTGCCTGGTATACGGGAGATCGTGGGTTCAATCCCGACCCTGACACCTGTACATTTGGAGTTTGCGTCTCGCTCCCTGTGGTCCTGTAGATTTTTTACGAGTCCTCCAGTTTTCCGCTCCACATTTAGAAACTTGCATTTAGGTTATTTGGCAGCGATACATTTCCATGTGATAAGCCACTTCTCATTGAGCTACCATTTGTGGCCAGGTCGCCTCTGAATAAAAATAGTTTAGCTTCAGTAAAGAGTTGACTTGATGCTCCCAGGTGTTAGTTTGTCATTTGCCGAGTGTGGTGCATGGCGAGTGGTCCGTCGTGTCTGATGAACATGTCTGGTGCATGCTCAGTCGTGAATGTCGAGTGGTTAAAGTGGTGAGAGAGGTTAGGCGAGAAGTGAAAGTCTATTCACCATTAGGCGAGTGCCGAGTGTGAGGATTAGGTGAGTTGGTGAGTGTCTGGTTAGCGTTGTGGAGAGTAGTGAATACTATCAGATGACAAGTGCCAGGCGAGTTTAAGGTGAGGATCAGGCGAGTGTCACGTCACCCAGTCAGCCTTAATACAAGAGACCGAGGCATGTAGTGACATGAGCAAAGCTCGCATTACGTTGGTAATTACTAAGTGATGTCCAAAAATCACACGTATAACTTGCGCCAAAAATATCATTAAGGTGTACACGAGGCCAAGTAATGTGATTCAGGAAGTTTCAAATAATGTATTTACAGATCAACATTGGCAGCCCCATAGGGTGAAAGGGAAAGGTAGAAAGGACAGTCCAGGGGGAAGGTGTAGTCTTGTTCATATTTTATTATTGTTACAATCATGAACTTTTCCTCAATCGGCCGCTTCTATTATTCAAGTTTTCTTACGACACCTTTTCTTAAATCTTTACCAAAATACAAACATGTTGCCGGAAACCCCAATAAACGTTACCCCAATTTCACAAGAGGAGCATGAAAACATTTACAAACACTGTCTTTTTTTGCACTTATATTTGTGGAAGCCAAACAAAAGAGACCTTATTTTAAAACAATACAAAAAAATCTGCTTACGTGGACTCAGATTCTGCATTGCACTGCAGGAAAAAGCCCAAAGTCTTCTGGTTTGGCCTCTCCTGGTGGGTACGTGGCATCACCATGATCTTCCACGGCAGGTTGCGCACATAATAAGCCGAGCTCAGCACCGTGTCTGATAACGTGCCGAACTGCTCCACGGTAAACCGGAACGTGGCCTCGGATCTCCAGCTTGTATCTGCAAAGGAAACATTTTTTGTCAAGCTGCAGCTAATGACCATTTTAAGGCGGTGCATGAAAACCTTTAGCATCATCTGTAAAACATGTAGATAGAAAAAAAAACCTTTAAAAGCAGGGCTGTCCAAACTTCCTGCCAAGTGCCAAATTGACTAACGTACCAAGAGTCGTGTATCAGACATTCCATTTTTATTACATTATGTTGCAAGTTAAAGGAAACAGATGCATGCATATTCGAGATATGTCATGAGCGCTATACAGGTTAGAGATAATCCAGAAGAAAAGACAGACAGGAGATCGATGCATTTATAATGACAGAGATAAATTGAGGGTAAGAATCCACCCATTTTCTCGCCATATAGCATTGTGATATATAACGACTTATTGTTGGTAGCTTAGCTGATTGGAGAATATAGAGTTTATTCATAACATGAAGGTAATTTATATTTTAGTTTTTATTGGTTCACTATATAGTACTGTGAATAGCTCAGATGTGTAGTCATTTCTGTGACCAGTCACTAGCTAATCACTCAGTTATTTCAATGCTAAATTCGCCTAGTTATTTCAATGCTAAATTCTCCTGTTTGATTTGTACTAAGTGCCTCGGTGAATGTGTATGCTCTGACTTTAACGTAGCTATTTCTGCAGCAGTTACAAGCTAATCACTCAGCTATTTCAATGCTAAATTCTATGCTAATTCCATTGTCAAGGGGTGCCTCTGCGGATGTGTATGCCTTAACTTAGCTATTTCAATGCTAAATTCTATGCTAATTCCTTTAACAATGGGTGCCTCTGCGGATGTGTATGCTTTAACTTTTAACATAGCTATTTCTGTGACCAGTCACAAGCTAATCATTCAGCCATTTCAATGCTAAATTATATGCTAATTCCTTTGTCAAGGCGCTTTGTTCCTCTCACACAGCTTAAAGGCAGTGATCTGAACGTGGCTCTTTCACTCCAGCGCTGTCCTACCAGACAGTCTCGCCCCTTCACCTGATGAAGGCCGCTTGTGTTGTGGCCGAAACGTCGTGAGAATATTACTGTGTTATTTTATTTTATCAATTTATTATTTTATTCTCATTCTACGTGACTTTACCGAAAGAACCAAAGAAGATGAATCATTGCAGTCACGAAAGCTTTAAATCGAAATATAAAAGGGGTATATTTAGAAGGCATAAGAGGTAGGAGAGATTATATTTAAGAGATGCATTCAGAAAAGACAAAAGAGAGATGATTGTGATGTATTCAGAAGAGATGAGAGAGAGGACAGATGAACATTTGAAGCCATGGGACAGATGAAATGAACTTAGGAGCACAAAATAACAGACCTGCTTTAGAGTTTTGGATGGGAATAAGGAGTTTCCGACGGGAATTATGTACTTTGAAAGAAACAATGGAAATCTCAATAATATTACGTGCAAAATGTAGACCTCATCATTGTAAGCTTAAACAATCACGATAAAAAATATTTCGGGAATGATCTGCTCAGTATGAAACCAAATAATGCTCGTAATGAATTTTATACCAGTGCCTTTAAGGCTCAAACACTAAAAATGAATCTAAAACAATGTAAGCGCCCTTGAGTATGCGGTCTCTCGAGTCTCGAGAGAGCCATACGCCGTATGCGTGACCAATGCAGAGTGGACCAGACAGGTGACGTGCCTGGGTTGCAACCAGGCCACACATCGCAGACATGTCTGAGGCGGATCCATGGATTCAAAAGCAGGATTGTGCAAACTATTGTATTACGCCTAGTGGGATAAAAAAATAATAAACAACACTACTATAAAAATCAAAAATAACATTTAGATGTGCCAGAATATAAGCCTTCATGACGACATCTCGATAAAACTAGTTATAGGGTTTGCTCACTTGAACAAAGCCGCTTGAAATCACTGATCCAGAGGTCCTACGGGTTGACAGACTTAAACGTTACTATATTTAATCTTTTGGTGGTGGAGCAAACCATTGTCTATTATTTATAGCATCAAAAGCTATCTATCCCAGGACAGTATTGGCCATCTCAGCCACGAGACAGCCCCATTTATGAGCGTGCCTACAGGGACAGCCCTGAAAAGGCAGTGGCCATGACATCACTGCTTCACAAAACAACTCAACACAACCCCAAATGAGATTAAAACACACAATTAACCCAAGTACCCTTAAAAGTGACAGCTTTTTGGTTGCCACAGGAAAAACATATCACTATTGTTTCAGCAAAACAAACCTCTTCCACTATAGCGTGGTTGTTTCTTTAAACAGCGTTAAATCAGATGACAAGATTTATGCATGCTTAACACATCTGAAATTGCTCCAACTATTTTAGAGGCGTTATTGTGCCACTCACGAATTGGCGTTCGTGCCTTGAGTTAGAAACTTGAGAATACGTAAACCCAGTCTGGAACACACACTGGGGTTGTGGCTTATACTCTGCTTTATCAACATTTGGTTGTAACAATTTTAAGACCAGAAGCACGGGAGTCCAGGAGTAAGACAACTAACCTCTCTTGATAACTGGCAACAGCAGAATTTGTTCAATAAGGGTTTTTGTTGGCTCTGCTGATGAGACTCAAAGTTGTAACTGGCTCAATTTCATAAAGTAGCTTTTACTGTCAACTGATTAAGACTACCTCAGACAGAATAATGTGTCCACATTTCTTGATTCGGAAGAAATGCTCATAGTACAAAGGTGACGAACAATCAGACTGACTTTTTAATGTATGCTAGGATGGTGATTGTTCATGCAGTTCATGTATGTCAAAGCACTGACTTATTTCACAAGCCACATTTAATTTGCATGTATGAATGTCTTTCTCACTGTACGTAGCCAACCGTGCTAATCGGAGGTGCGGTCGGAGGTGCGGGGGAAGGACAACAAACTAAGCACAAAAAGCAGTTCTGAAGAAAAGAGTTTTCAATCTAGATTTAAAAGTGCATAGCGCGCCAGTGGCTTCCTAATATTGGAAGAGCGTTCCAGATGGGCGCAGGAACGCATCTGAAAGCACGCGATGCAGTGACCATCTTTGTTCGATGGCTAGCCAAAAACCGCTGCAAGGATGAACGGAATTTCGCGTCATGGTTTATGCTCCTTGATGAGATCAGATATAAACTGGCGGTGCTCGTCTCTGTTGGGACATCCCAGCCAAAAAAGCGATGTTCTGGCCACGTCTACCGAACACTGGTAAAGTGGACCATTCTACACATTTACCAGCAGCCAAACACAGGCTCGATGTAGCAACGCGAGGAAGATAGGATGTCACAGCCAACCCTACGTGGAACTGTCAGCAGCTAAGTCCTGTTTTGCAGATGTACAATGCTTGCACGTATGTCCAGCATTGCTTTGCTGAGCCGAGCACGTGACACGATTGAATATGCAGCAGGGCCACTACCACCACAGCGAGCGGTGGCAACATCCCACAGCGGGTGGCTCGGGGAGCTGAGGAGTGGGGAAGGCTGCTCTCGAAGGGTGGCCGTGGGGCTCACATCTATTCCTATTTTGTATTTAACTGGGTAAGGCCCACTAAGCTATGTCTCTTTTTTACAGATGTCCAGTGGGCGTAGGTTAGAATGTTACATTGGCTCTCATTGTCTCTTTTCCTAAGTTCTTATGTTTCTCAGTTCACAAAATGTGTATTAGCTTGAATCCGACAACTTTACTTGATTCCATTAGTTGCTGGCCACTTGGAATGTTGGGCCATTTGAAGCCTGTGCTCAAAAACCGTGATAATAAAAATGTCACGGAATCTCAAAACACAAAGCTGCCACTTTGGTAAAAGTAAATATTTGCGACGTTTTCTTTTTGTGCTAATTTTTGTACAATTATTTTCTTCTCCAATAACGCGTAGAGTTTTGAGAAAACCGACACAAAGAGCCATCCACGTGCCACGAATATCTCGCCAATAACATCTGCCAAAATTGTGCCGCTCTCTAATTTCTAAGAGCCAAGAGGCATATTTTTTACTATGCCCAGGGAATAAGCAAAATAACAAAACGTCTCAAATAATTGCTATTAAACTGAAATGGAAGCTACCAAAAGTCAATTTCCAGCTCCGTTTACTTTTTTGGGCAAAATTGGCAACCAAACACTGCAGATATTTAAAACCTTAAACACTTATCAGCAATATTAATGCACGCGCATTAGATTTTGAGTTAGAGTGCCCCCAATGTGTGTATATATATAGTAGTGTAGCGGTTAGCGCGCTGCGCTATGAACCTGGCCACCCAGGTTGGATTCCCACTCACGGCCAAAACCAATGACGATTATCCGAACCTGCCCTGGGCCTCCCCTAGGTCGACTCAGCCCCAAATGAGTACCTAGTGCGGTGCATAAACATCGCCACTGGGGGGACAAAGGCAGTCGGGCGTAGTGCTCGCCACCCACCCCCTTATGTACCATTCTAGCCTTCATAGGTGCTTGCTAACAGCACTTGTCCCTACAGTCTAAGGCTATACGGAGGATCTTTTAATATGAGTTTACGCATTTTCGTACATATACTTATTTGCCCAATTAAATCCCATAACACATTCCTCCCCCCCCCCCCTTGAAGAACTGTCTTGCCAACTTGTACTGTTATTAATTTGATAAGTACATTGCTCTGCCTAAGTATGGCTCTAAGTGTTTGAGTGTGACACTAATTCAATAAGCACTACATTCGACGTTGCCCACCTAACATGGACAAAAAACCAGAGTTCTCTCCTCTTCAACCAGATTCATCGCGTGGAGACTCAAGCTAATGATAGAGCGCCATGTTGCAGCACCGCGCAACCTCTTAGACCAAAGCAGAGTATGCTTAAACGTCAATGTGCAGATAATGCGCACGGCCGAATAACATATTTCGTATTTCATGGGTTCCCGTGAAACCCTGCAGCTAAGAGATGCCACATTCACCACTATAGGCAAAGAGGGAAGTTATAGCTTCTGTGGTCAAAGCTCAACAACCCAGAATCGTCACAATCCACTGACGATTCATTATTCGGGGGTGGGGGACAATCGTTGACAGTCTCAAGTGCCGAGAAATGGTGTGGGATGGCCAGCGCCACTTTACCTTCCTCCATCTCCGCATCTTTGATGCCATTTCCATCTTCCGGAATTACATTACCATTGACGATGGGAGTGGGAGCATCGTGCTGCGCTTCCTCTGCACCTGCTGAATTAAAGGCAGCTTGTTATGGACGGAGCACCACAGCGGGACACGCCACATTTTGTACAATTTTTACTGTGCTAAAACAGCCACTACAGTTGTTCAGAATATTTATTTACCCTGCAGAAATCCCATGAGCTCTGAAGCTCTTTTTCACAGATGTTCAGTTGGGGCACAGGGTTATAACAAGTTGCAAAAAACGAAAGGAGTGCACTGTATAGGAAAGATAAGCAAATCACTAAATGTAAATAAAATAAAAGTATACACGTTCAAATTGTATATAATGTCAAGCTAGCCCAGCAGCATTTTCTTAACAGGTCACACTGCCGATGAGAACCACAGAACCGAAAACAGTCCAGATGTCTTATTGCTTTTAACAAACTGTGGGAAAACCTTGGTCACCGCAGCCTACAGGGGGCCAAAGGTTATTTTATTGTATCGTTATGTGGTGAAACAGATTATTTTTTATTATCTTTAGAAAAAAATAAATCCACAATAGTGAGGGAAAAAAGTATTTGATCCCCTGCTGATTTTGTACGTTTGCCCACTGACAAAGAAATGATCAGTCTATAATTTTAATGGTAGGTTTTTTTGAACAGTGAGAGACAGAATAACAACAAAAAAATCCAGAAAAACGCATATCAAAAATGTTAGAATTTGACCTGCATTTTAATGAGGGAAATAAGTATTTGACCCCTCTGCAAAACATGATTTAGTACTTGGTGGCAAAACCCTTGTTGGCAATCACAGAGGTCAGACGTTTCTTGTAGGTGGCCACTAGGTTTGCACACATCTCAGGAGGGATTTTGTCCCACTCCTCTTTGCAGATCTTCTCCAAGTCATTAAGGTTTCGAGGCTGACGTTTGACAACTCGAACCTTCAGCTCCCTCCACAGATTTTCTAATGGGGTTAAGGTCTGGAGACTGGCTAGGCCACTCCAGGACCTTAATGTGCTTCCTCTTGAGCCACTCCTTTGTTGACTTGGCCATGTGTTTTTGGTCATTGTCATGCTGGAATACCCATCCACCACCCATTTTCAATGCCCTGGCTGAGGGAAGGAGGTTCTCACCCACGATTTGACGGTACATGGCCCCGTCCATCGTCCCTTTGATGCGGTGAAGTTGTCCTGTCCCCTTAGCAGAAAAACACCCCCAAAGCATGTTTCCACCTCCATGCTTGACGGTGGGGATGGTGTTCTTGGGGTCATAGGCAGCATTCCTCCTCCTCCAAACACGGCGAGTTGAGTTGATGCCAAAGAGCTCCATTTTGGTCTCATCTGACCACAACACTTTCACCCAGTTGTCCTCTGAATCATTCAGATGTTAATTGGCAAACTTCAGACGGGCATGTATATGTGCTTTCTTGAGTAGGGGGACCTTGCGGGTCCTGCAGGATTTCAGTCCTTCACGGCGTAGTGTGTTACCAATTGTTTTCTTGGTAACTATGGTCCCAGCTCCCTTGAGATCATTGACAAGATCCTCTCGTGTAGTTCTGGGCTGATTCCTCACCGTTCTCATGATCATTGCAACTCCACGAGGTGAGATCTTGCATGGAGCCCCAGGCCGAGGGAGATTGACAGTTCTTTTGTGTTTCTTCCATTTGCGAATAATCGCACCAACTCTTGTCACCTTCTTGTCAATGGTCTTGTAGCCCATTCCAGCCTTGTGTAGGTCTGCAATCTTGTCCCTGACATCCTTGGAGAGCTCTTTGGTCTTGGCCATGGTGGAGAGTTTGGAATCTGATTGATTCTGTGGACAGGTGTCTTTTATACAGGTAACGAGCTGAGATTAGGAGCACACTCTGAAAGGGAGTGCTCCTAATCTCAGCTTGTTACCTGTATAAAAGACACCTGGGAGCCAGAAATCTTTCTGATTGAGAAGGGGTCTTATTTCCCTCATTAAAATGCAAATACATTTATAACATTTTTGACATGCGTTTTTCTGTATTTTCCTTGTTATTCTGTCTCTCACTGTTCAAATAAACCTACCATTAAAATTTTAGACAGAGCATTTCATTGTCAGTGGGCAAACGTACAAAATCAACAGGGGATCAAATACTTTTTTTCCCTCACTGTACATCATATATTTTCAATCAGAAAAGGTAGCAATTAACTACGCAGTGAAACGCTTTAACAAAAGTATCCTGTGAACAGTTTCCACTAGAAGTATTAAAGGGTTGGAAGGCAACACCGCATGGTAAAACAGTGCAGCCCCAGGGAAACTTGAGAAGAAAACAGCAACATCTACAAACAAAAGCATGTTGCCAACAACATGGCTATCCGGGGGACTGCAGGTGGACCGATAATTATAAAAGGTGTTTTGGCATGGTCATGCCAGGAATAAAGCAAGACACGGTTTTACAATTACTCCCATTACATTGATCACATAAAACGATTGAAGGAAAATCATCTCCAAATTAATTACCTGATACAATTGTATCAATCTGAGATATACTAATTACTGGTAATCTTAACTGTGGGATTGTAAATTCTTTATTTTATGTTTTACGGAAGCGAATCCAGCAAGCATTGTTCTATACTCCTTGGTTCTTTCTGTAAAGTCACATAGGTAGAATTTTTTTTTATCAATCACGACGTTTCGATCGCAACACAAGCAATCGTCATCAGGTGGAAAGATACAGCAGTAGAACTGCTGTAAATAAACACGTATGGGAAGACAGTGTCTAAAAATGCAGTGCATAGTTTTTAAAATAAAAAACCACAGCCGCTATGAATTCTACAGCGTTAATAACAGCTACCACTTACATATTCATCTACAGGTCAAAACTTCCTTGCAGGATACAATTTGAGAACTACCGTTTACAGACAATACCACATGTTATAAGGCGGCACTGTCCACCATTTGTATAAGGGGGGGGGGACTGTTTACCAAACGTAAACAAAGGTAGTCTTTGGAGGCATCATATTGCCGTTCCTTAATGTCTGTAAATTCAGCAAAGACAAACAGCCCAAGTTACGGAAAAAAAATATTCATTATTTTACCAGGTAATGCCCACTGAGCTAGATAGCTCTTCTTCACAAGCGACCTGGCCACAAATAATAGCTCAACAAAGTGGTTTATCATCGCGTGGAAATTTATAGCAGCCAAATATTCTAAACGCGTGTTTCTAAATGTGGTGGGTAAAACCGGAGGACCCTACTCTGCCATATCTCTTTTACAATGAACAGACATGTAAAAAGCGTCCAGTACAGTGCATCCGACAGTGAAACGATCACTCCAATGGGACAGTGAGCTAATCGTAAAAAACATAAAATATGCAGTAAGCATGTGCTCAACGGACAGTTTACACATTATCTTAAAGTAAACTATTACCTTACTCACATTGTGGGTTGGCTAAATCTTACTTTCTTGTTTTGTGGTCCACCAGTCCCTAAAAATATCCGATAAACTAGACACGGCAACTGGGCAGGCAAGGCTGAGATCCTTGGCTTAAATCCAGGCAGTGGCTTGTGATTAACTTCTCAAATGCAACGAGGTCTCATCCCAATGACCAAAAACCATGCAAAAAATTCCATCATGTAAAATGTTGTTCTGTATTTAACAAAAACGATCAGTTTCATTGTCATGCAACAAACATTACTTTCAGGAGCAGGGCAGGTGGGAAAGTACTACCCTTCATCTTGTCGAAGAGGTCACTTGGAGGCATCTCAGAAGTAGATCTGTGATATTTGGTTCTGCAGAGTCTTTAACAATGTTGTGCAAAAAAAATCCTGAAGGACATTTTTTCAAGACATGAGACCAAACGTACAATTGTGATCAAATTGAGGGCGGGGGAGGGTTGAAGATAATAACAAAAATATACAATAAAGAAAATTATGCATGCTTGGATTCTGAAATTATTTTCAACGTGTGTTTGTCCTTGGAAGCATTTGATCAATGACATTACAATTAAAGCAGCACGAGACATTAAATGGCACATGTGTGACGTCACACGTAATGTTGTTATCTGGAGGGAGATGTGTGTGCAATGGTCGTGGGAACGAATCGTTTTAGTTTCGGAAACCCTTTGATTAATTTGGCTGGTTTTAATAATAGCAACAACTTCATACTAAAAAGTTGTAGTCATATGGGGTCATCTTTATAACAGTTATCATGCCCCCTTGGCCACAACCAAACAACACTCAATGCATTTGCGCTTTCAACTTTAGAAAGCGTAATACAATCTTAATAAGAATTTTCCGACTTTATAATATAATCCCAATTTTTTTTTTCCTCTTGACAGTTTCTTTGACCATGCCGCACGAGGTAAACACTACCAGCACTATAGATAATAAACCTACGTGTTGAACGGATTACTGGTACTATACATAAGCCTACGTGTTGAACAGACTACTGCTACTATACATAATAAGCCTATATGTTGAAGGGACTACTGGTACTATAGATAATAAGCCTACGTATTGAACGGACTACTGGTACTATACATAAGGCTACGTGTTGAACAGACTACTGGTACTACACATAATAAAGCCTACATGTTGAACGGACTACTGGTACTATACATAATAAGCCTACGTGTTGAACGGACTACTGGTACTTTACATAAGCCTACGTGTTGAACAAACTACTGGTACTATAGATAATAAGCCTACGTGTTGAACGGACTACTGGTACTATACATAAGCCTACGTGTTGAACGAACTACTATTACTATAGATAATAAGCCTACGTGTTGAACGGACTACTGGTACTATACATAATAAGCCTACGTGATGAACGGACTACCGGTACTCCACATGTCTACCACTGCCATCTTCCTCCTCTTACAAAACTGTTATTAATTGGGCCCCATCTCGAAATTATTACCTTTCTGGTTCTGTTATAAACGTACACAATTTGAGGGATTAACATTTACTTGTAAATATCATTGTGCAAGACAGCCCGGAAAAAAAACATGACTATCTAAATATGACATATTTGACAGCCAAAGAAGACTTGAAGCAGATCCTGTGTGTCCACTGGAAATCTGTTGCACAGCCATTTATC